AAATTTATTTGGTTCAATATTTATACAATATACAAACACTATTGGTAATAATTAAATTATTTATTTTACAGTGCTAATGATGATTATGAATTTGAAAATTAAGAAAGAATTGAGGATCTTCTCAATTATTGAGATCCTCTATTTTCACCTACAATTGTTGTCAGTCCCACTAGGTACATATTTGTTAAAATATGTACTTAAGATAAATATTTTTATGTATTATTTTAATTTCTATTTAGATATAATAATGACAAAATTCGGAATACTATAAAAATTGTATTTTTTTAGTTCAGTGTCATTACTAATTATGATATTGTGTCAATGAATTAAATGCATTAAACAATATTTCTCAATCAGCAGCTATTTATACTAACCCATAGTAATTATTATCCCACTCAAAAAGCTGAGAGTAGTCACGGTAAACAAAATAGCCGTTTTCGTAAAGAGTTTGTACCATATTAATTATAATTTAGTAATTCTATAGTGACATATTCTTAAAAATATTATTTCTAATCATGTTTTTTTTTTGTCTATGTTATTTAGTTTTACAGGAAGTGAGGACTCAAAAAAGTCGTCATTGAACCCGAGTATACCTTCACCTTACAATAGGTAAATAGTTTATAAATTATTGTAGCAGCAATATTTTGGTTGATGTTTAGCATCTGGGTTAAAAATGATTACTTGCATGCATCGCTTGTAAGTTCATACATTTGTATATCAATCTTACTAAGATGTATTTAATGCTAGTTAAAATAGAAATTAATTTCAAGGTACCATGGTTAAGTATGTGAAGTTTAATTTTGCATACCTATTCAGTGTTTTTTTGGCATTCGGCATATTTATACGTTTTTCTATTTTATAGGGCATATTATTCGTAATTTTGATATTATTATATTGATATTATTATTTTAACATACATTTTTTTCTATTGAAATAATACGGAAAAATTAAAATTTGATGAAGAATGCAATAATTTATATTTTTTCACAAAACTAAATGTATGAGAATTGTCGCAATGTAAAATTATTAAAAATATGAATAGGTAATTCTTACTATTTCAAAAACTGCATTTGATTTCTTCATTTTTAACCTACTTATTTTTAATGTATAGTTTTAGATTTTTAGTGCATATGAATGCATATTTCTGAACTTTTAAAGGCATATATTGTCAGTTTTTAGTGTATAAGTGCTTATTTAATAATTTTTAGGTCATGAACTTCCAAGCCCTGCTTATATGACACAATGTGAATATCAATATTTAATTTATGCTAGGTACAAGTTAAAATTATAATAAATCGTGTGCCTACTAAGCCTATGCTACATGCTTAATTATACACAAATACAAATTGTATTATTCCTTTTAACACTGTCTTTCTTTTGTATAATTAGAATCAGAAACTGAAAAATCACCTATCAAATTTAAGAAATTGACTAGAAAGTGACAGAAGTTGACTAAAGGTTGGGAAAGTAATGTATTAAAAGAAAAAGTAAATGGTAGACTAGAGCATAATACTAAATCTGTCAATATTATCCCCGCATTAGAAATTCGTTAAAACAAAATGTGTAAATGTTCCTTTAAATGTCGGTAACATTTTACTGACCTTCAAATTATTGATACTTATATAAATAATACTAAAAACTTACTAAAAAAGATAAACTAGGATTTTTATTCAATTTTACTCATCGTGTAGAATGTAGAACGCATACAATCAAAAAAACACGTGTTTACTACTTTCCTAATCGAGTCTCAAAAAATAAGGGTTTGTAAAAATTACTTTTTGAGCTGTTTAGGCATAAGTCAAAAACCAGTGTATAATGTACATAACAATAAAAACTCAGTATCTTTAACACTACCCGATGAACAAAGAGGTAAACAATCTTATAGTAAAATACCGAATGAAAAGAAAGCATTTGCATACGAACATATTAATTCATATCCAACAGTACAGTCCCATTATTGTAGAGCTGACACTAATAAAAAATATCTGACTTCTGATCTCAATATTTCAAAAATGTATGATCAATATGTAAGTGTTTGTTTAGCTCAAAATAAAATTGATGTAGAAAAACATATGTTTCGAGATATTTTTAATACTAAATTTAATTTAGGTTTCTTTTCATCAAAAAAAGACCTTTGCAAAATTTTTGTGTATGTATAATATATTGGTTGCTATTGGTTAATCGGGCATGTTTGTTGATTTGTACTATTATCTTTTGTCAATATATAATAGTAGTTCCAGAGTTTAGTCTGTAAAGTAATAGTTTGTGTATTTATATAGTTAGATATATATATGTATATAAATTAATGTTATTATTATATCAATATATTTTACACCGGAGGATTTTCCTAAAATTCTCTTTCTTATAAACCTTCTCCGTGAAATACACTTTCGTTTAAAAAAAAATCAAGATGATCTGATAAGCAGTTCCAGAGTTTAGCCTGTATAGAGATTATCATTTCACATTTTTATAGTTAGATAATATTATATTATAATATATATTTGAAAAGTAAAGCAAACAGTTTTTTTATTATTAATATTATTATAAAAGCTTAAAAACCCATGGCAACCACTTATAAGCAAAAATGTCCATCTTAAATCTCAAAATTCCCGTTTGAGCACCTCCAGGGGTTGGTCCTCTCGCTTATAAAATTAGCCTATATTTTAAGTTGGACCAAAATACACACAGTTTAAAAATGTCATCAATATCGGTCCATTAATTCGGAGTTTATCCTGGACACTAGATTTATATACATGCTCTATAAAGATCTATGTGTATATTAAAGTAGGTTTTTTGGGTAGATTAGACCTCTGGGAAAAGATAGTTTTAATTTACTAACCTGTAAAATTGTTTTGTTTATTCTCGGATTTTAGTAGCGGTTAGGTAAGGATAGTGTTAGGAAAGATATTTTAATTAGTGGACTGGTAAAATGATTGACGTGTGTTGTTGTTATATAAACAATCATCGTTTATTAATACAAAAAAACAAATTTGATGGCACAAATTAGAATTTACGGGTTGCAGGAAATATTTAACAATGTAACGATTTTAAAGACAATGTGTCTGGCCTGGTGGCACAGATAATAACTTACAATGAGTGATTCTGGCCTGACGGCACAGCTAATAATTAAAACAATGAGTGATTCTGGCCTGACGGCACAGATAATAATTAAAACAATGAAACTCTGGCTTGATAGCACAGGTTATAAATTACAATAAAAACAAATGAGAATATTATGTCTGGCCTGGTGGCACAGATAATATTTGACAATATAACAATTTACAGTAAAAAACAATTTATAGTAAAAACAAATGTTTGTGGTGCACCACCTACCTATTGAGAGGTTATGGGGTGCGTGGTGCCGGGATCCGTAGGTAACCATTTAAAGACAATAAAAAATAACAAGTGTGATCCCGCACACACACAGTACCACCGCTAACCTACTCACAGAAGTCACCTCTCATAGACCACGCTGACTCTGCTACCAGTAATGGGAACGCTGAGCGTTGACCCAACCATCACCGTGCAGCAAAGCAGGTAAAACAAACGAAACGTCAAGGTATACTTTGTGTCATCCTAGACTAGGAAAGAATAATGATAAATCTAACCTTTACAATACTACAGAACGATATTTACTTTGAATACTGCATGCGGTGCCAAACACAGAGCGTGCTGAAAGTGTTCTCTTTGAAGATGAACAATTGAACACAAAAAAAATAAAACGAAAATGACAGATGCCGGACAACGTGTGTGCTCATGACCGTCTTGCTCGAGCACCAAAAAGAAAAGAGAGCGAAGAGACATAAAACTGCTGCCTCATGTCCGTTGATTATATAAATGTACAAAGTTAGGAACGAAATGTGATGATGACTAGATACTACTACTGATAAGCTGCTATCTCATTTTTGCCAGCGACTTTTGGTCGCAAACAGACCTATATACAATTTATTGATTTACAAAATTATTGGTGGCTGGGGAATCAAATATAAATTTGATTAAGCCATAACAATAGGATTTTGCATAAATTGATTATATTAATCCACCGTAGGTGGAATTAAGTAAAAACGATAAGCTTGGTATAACTTTGATACTTTAGAGTTAAATCATACACTTACGTACAAACAGCACGGGCTCCGCGATCTACCACAGGTAGATTGCCTACCTGATAATATACTGCTGCGAATCAAAACTTTTATTCCGGGCAACGGAAAAGTTAAGATAAATTTTGAACACCGTAGGTACACCGAGTATGAAATAACGAATTGAACAAAGTTTGAGTCATATAGAGTTATACATTTAACGGGCAACGAAGTGCAAGGAATCAGCTATAAGTATATTATATAATATATTATGTATATTAGATATTACAGCATGTAACATTTACATTGTAGGACTTTAATTCTTTGAATCCCTATTTAACATATACATTACAGACTACAGAAACAGAAGAATCCACTCATTACGATCTTCAAGGAATCTAGAGAATCATTATAATATTCAGATGATAAAAACATACTGCACGTGAGATATAAAACCAATTAAGAACCAGTTGGGATTCGTTTTTTCCCAAATGTCATAATATATAACAGTATAATGTTATACGATAATTCTACTGTAAATCTAATATAATTCCAATAAAAACTTTCCAATATTTACAAATAAATGTAGCCTATACTAGATGATGGGTTTTTATTTATTTTTATAAAAAGTGTAAAAACAGCAAAATTGAAAAGAAATTTTTGCCACCCTCGGGAAATTTTCTAACATAAACCAACCCATAAATACGACCCAGAGAAGAGCGGATTTCATTAATTTTAGTGTTGCTGGCCAAAATCAAAATATGACCGTGTTGTGTTAGGTTTATACAGCTTGTAGTATGGCTACGTTGTTTATTATCCGACAATAGTGTGAAGAAAGCACATTATAATATTAAATGTTTTAGTTTTTACTAATGCCGATTTTTTTAATTATTATACCTTGAGACCAACATTACCATCATTATGGCCAGCAAACTGGTCACTAAAAAACGACCAGTGGTGAAAAAGTTAGTAGAGCTAGGCTACTCCTTGGACGGCGGTGGCGGCAGCCGATTGACCAGTGGAATCAGCGGCGTGGTAGCACTGAGACGCTCTCGCCGGACGCGTGTGGGTCGCCGACGTAGGTCGAAGAGGCGTAGTCGGTCGCGGTCCGGTCGCAGACGTGGAAGGAGACGTAGTGGTACCGACGAAGACGACATGACCACAGACGCAGAGGAAAACGAAGATGACGACGACGAATCGTCAACGGTTGACGCGACATCCCGGAGGAGGAGAAGGAGTAGAAGGGGCAGCCGACGGCGTCAGATAAGTGGCGGCGACCATGATGACGATGATTACACTACCGACGATGCAGAGACCACCGACGACACTTCGTCGAATAGCGGCGGTGGCGTCCTCGCGATGGCGGCCAGTGGCTGTCCAAGTCCTTGTCCTCGTCGCCGGAAGAGGAGAAGAAGGAGGCGGTCGACGGGATGCAGGAGGAGGAGGAGGCGGTCGACTGGTTGCAAGAAGAGGAGGAAGAGGAGAAGAAGTAGCTGCTGTGTCTTTGCGCTTGGCGGGTCCACCGTCGGCGAAACGTCGAACGACTTGGCAGAGGTGAGTGGAACAGGCCACATGCGGATGACGCGGAGCACTCATCCAGATACCGTCGCCAGCACTAGTCGGGATACCAGAAAAACACGATCGGTGTCTCGTTTGGGCTCCGTCTAAACATAACACCTCACCACGTCACGTTAATCTTCCAGACTATCATAATATTATGTATATTTCAATATTATTAAAACAAATAATATCCGCTGCTATTTCTATGAATATTATTAGGTAATTAAAGTAAATGTTAGCTATCTCCATTACCAGTTCAACTGAATAGTGCTCGAAGGAACGGTCTCATTCTATGAATGAAAAAGGTAAAGAAGGTGGACAAGTTGGTACCGGTCTGCTGTACAGTAGTTATCGAGTATGTCATTGTAATGGATGTGTGTTATATTTGAATTCATGGGATATCTAAAATGATTCTGAGCGGAGACGGCATCAGTGGCGCCGAACACGTAGTATACACGCATATGGTAAATACCCCATAACTTTTCTAGGTGGTGGGTGGGTAGGTGGTTGACTGCTTAGTGCTTACTGCTTTAAGATCTTGTTGAATTCGATAAATTACTACTAAATATACAATATCGTGAAAACTATATATTCAAACGCTCATAAGAAAATATTGTTACTTAATGAATAACTTAATTGTTTTGTTATAAGTAGAAAATGTTGTAGGGAATCTTTTATTAAAATTTCTTATCTTAACATTGAAAAGAAAAACTTTTATAAATTTATAACTGAAAAATCGTTTACAAAATTTGAAAAAATTATTTGGCTTTAAATAACTCAAAATTGTCGAAATAGTTTGAAAATTTCACGGTGTATGGAAAATGCTGATATAAATTGGTAAAAATATAATAATATATGGTAAACATTAACACCATCTTTCCTTTTTCTCTTGACAGCACCGCTGAGATGTTATAGTTCCATGGTTTTTAATTGTATTAAGCTGCCCCATAGCATACTGTTCTATGCCCATAGTATACAACACACTTTGATACCGATCTTTTTTGGCCATATATATGGCCGTAACAACAACTAACAATACCAATAACTAATAAATAATAATTGTTTGGGCATTTTTGTTATACAGTCCACTACGAATATTATCCTTATTATTATCATTACTATGTTACCACTATTATGTCGCATTATTATTATTCTTATTATCAGTCAATAAAATACATTTTTGACTGTGTTCAGTCCAGTTGACAAAAAACCATGTGTACGTCAGACTACGTCTCTTTAAAACATCTCATCAAAATCCCAACGGGTATATTATACAAACAATAATAATAAGTACACGTTTGCATTAGATACGGTTGAGTATTGCCATATGCCTTTAAGCCCGACTATATAGCGAGCATAAGTTTGAGTGTATGTGTGCATGTCTGTATGTCTGTGTGTATCAGTGTATGGGTGTACCTTATTATTGGAACATTACCGTAAATCTATTTTTGTCAGTGCCGACCACGGCTAATAGATATAATATAATTATATAGGTATATGACATAAATCTAAATATAGTGTTATTGTAATCGGCGGCCTCAATAATTACAATGTTAAGTCATCGATTCACTACTGATGTTCCAGGAAAACCACTAAATACTTCATCGATAGTTTATATAGGTAATGCTTCTAGTATATTGTTTCAAATGCAGATGAAAAATCCTTAGTCACATTTTTTTTTTTTTATAAGCATTTAAAGTTCAAAAATAGACAAAATATGGAAAAATCACGAAAGTTAGCAAATTATTTTGAGTTGAGAATTTGTGAAAAATTTTCTTTTTAAATCTAAGATTTTAAATGTAATACAAGATTCCTTATAAGATTATTACCTTTATCAACAAAAAATCTCTACCGGAACGTCAAATTAAATTTTTATGAGGGTTTAAAGTTCATAATTTTACAATGTTGGATATTCACTCGATTTATCATATAGCGATTTCCTTATTTTGTTGTAATTCAAAAACGAATAACTGTAGATACATGAAAATTTCACTGAATGTTTATATTAGAATTTCCTATACACCATACAATTTTGAAAATATTTTGACTCTTTTGAGCTGTTTACGGACATTTTCAGTTTTCAATTTTTATAGTTTTTTTTTCTATATCAATAAAGTTTTATCTGTTGGGCCAAAAAGTGTAAAAATTTAATACAATGCTCCTGATATATTGTTACAATAGAAATTGAAAAATATTAAAAATATATGGGTACAAACTTTTACTATAAGCATTTAAAGTTCGAATTTTGACAAAATTTATCAAATTTAAAATTGACTAATTATTTTGTAGTTAAAAATGTTTAACTTTTATATCTAAGGATTGAAAATTTAAAACAAGATTCCATGTAAATAGTTAAATCTGTTACCGAAAAATCCGAAAAATACACAAGCACAGTTTATTTCTATAGTACTTTTAAGTTCAAATTTGGACGAAATTACATATTGAACAACCTAAAATAACCATTATAGGTAGTTATTTTGTTTTATAAGTACCTAGGTACCTAATGGGTATTGTGATATGATTAATTTGGAATTTATTTTAGGTACCTATTGTAGATAGATATGTATATAATATGTCTTAAACCTAGACTGATATACCGTCTCCGCTCAGAATCGTTTTTTTTATACAATGATATTATATCATTGAATTCAAATTTAATAACATTCATTATACATTGACCCACTTGTAACCTACTGTACAGCAGAGCACCTTTTTCTTTGTAGATTGTAATTTATAGATTACTTGAAGACAACAATAATAGCACAATTATTTTTTTTAATTTAAAAAAATGTTTTTATTTAATTAATTTAAGTTGTTATATTATGTTATCATAGTATTTATCACTTCAGTACCTAGTAAATATATATTAGTGGTGGGCATATCCGGATTTCAAAAATCCGAATTATTCGGATTTAGTAAATCCGGATTTCACGGATTATCCGGAGTATCCGGATTATCCGGATTATTCAACTCGATTTTGCTGTTCAATGACTCATTTTTATATACTAATAATATTTTAATTCTATAATATAATTTTCAGACATGGGTATACAAAATTTTGAACTCATTTTAAGTACCAGTGATGTTTTGCGCTTAGCTGTAATAAAAACAATTACTTAAGTATGTAAATGGTTTTATTGAAATTTTTAAGCACATTTTTATTTGTAAAGATTAATTATTATTTTTTTATACTAAAAAAAAAATTTCAAATAATGTAACATAACATTTTATTTAATAATTATTAATTAATATTTATAAAAATCAAAATAACAAAATAAATACTTTATAACACAGCAAAAATTATACTTAATCTCACTAAATAAACAATATATATTATAATACAACAATAATTCATACAGAACGGTAAACATATTCATGTATATTACTTATATATTTTTTTTTTTAATTAAAAATTATTATTTTGTTTTAAAAAAACTAAGGCTGACAAATGGCATGGTGTAATTCTGTTACGTTTTGGGGATAATATATTACCGGCTGTTGAAAAAACTCTTTCTGATAAAGCAGAAGATGCTGTTATACATAATATTTGTTTAGCTAACACGGCTAACGTTGATAAAATGTTTTCATGATCTTTCCACCATGTACATGGATCTGCATTATGATTTATTTGAAATTCCGCCATATACCTTGAAAACTCGTCAGTATCATTATTTGGTTCTTCTTCAAGTAATTCATCAAGTGCTGTGCATTTTTCTGTAGGTATACGTACATCAGTATTTCTGCTCAGAGACTAAAATATAATTTTTTTCGTACTACACATTTTATATTAAAATTTTAGTTACCGCGAGGGGCTTTGCCACCCCACCCAAAAAAGTGTATTGAATCTATACACATAAACAATAAACATAGAGTAATCAATTTCTATTTATCTTTATCTACAGAGTACAGACTACATCGAAAGTTAACGATTTATGTCCGTATATTGGTACGATAATTAATTCGGTATATAATATTGCAATAAATGCACAGAACTATAATAATACTATATACAATACCTATTATAGACAGTGAATTGTGAAATAAAAATCCCCGATTCTAGGAAAAAACATCCCAGACTTCAATATTAGGTACTCACATAATCACATGAAATTGATTGATTAAATGTTTATTAAAAGCTAATTAATGTAATTACCACATTGTTAATATTTAATTATAAATAAACACAAGGTTTAGGAATAGCTATATCATTAAAAAAATTATTGTATAATAAATATAGTGTTCAAACATTAACAATAACATTATTTTGTTTTTGATTTGAAACAACATAGGTAAATATGTTAATGGTTCTTTTAAAAAAAAATATAGGTAAATACATTCAGTAACTATTGTTTGATAATTATTTGTAATTTGTATCGATTATTCGAAATATTTTTATTTGGTAATATTTTAAATATTGTATCTATAAGTAAAACTTGTAAAATCGACTCCTAATAATACGTAATAATTATTATTAATATTTAAAATTCTCATCTATCTATTCCCCAACTAAACATCAAATAATTTTTCAATTAACGAAGAAAAAAGTGTAAAAAAAAGCTATAGTAGTTATTACAGGCCATTACACACTTTTTAATTTCGTATTCCACACTTAGTATTTCGTACTACACAAAGTGTGTCGTACTACACACAATTTTAGTCCCTGTTTCTGCTTAACAAAACCATTTTTGAACGCACTATTTGTTTAATTCGATTTTTAATATTTTCGGAAGATTCAAATGACATATTTTTGTATCTAGGATCAAGTATGCTAGCCATTTGAGTAATACTAATTTCTCTTTCGCAATCGTTGTCAACATCAATTAGTACAGAAAAACGTGTTGATAATTCATGAATAATGGTCTCCTTGAAAAGAGTTGAAAATCTACTATCTAGATTATTGGGTTTATAATGCTTTACAATAAGACTTTTAACAATTGGTAAAACCTGAAAAAAAAACACAAGAATTTTATGATATTTACAAAATAATAATTATTGTTGAATATTAATTATACTTATAATTTTTTATCAACCTACCATTGATATAGTGACATTTTGATCAGCACATAAAACTGTTGTTGCTGTTTTTAATGGTTTCAATAAAGTAACAAGTATTTCTATTTTTTCCCAGTCTTCTTCAAGTAATTCTAGATCTTTCGCGATCTTACTATTAAAAAGTGTCCGATCAGACATAATGACAACTACAGCTGAACGAAACAACGTCGTGCACCGCGGTAGCGATAAAATAGGAGGAGGCAGGCGTACCGAGTCTGGGCCGTGGCCTGCACTTCAGGCTCTAGAGAACCGGCAGCGGTGGCTATCAGTGTGGCCACCCGCTATCATTCGGCCATCTGAAACCACGGACCGTCCTCGGGCCGTCTGCTCCCTGGTTATAACTATTACATAGAAAAAGAATAATATTATAATAAATGTTAAATGTTTCAATTCATAACAAAAATCTTTGTAACGACCGTAGCCCCACTGGTTACAAACTAATATATAAACATTAAAAAAAAAAAATAATACACATTACTTTTTCTTTAAATCATCTTACTACCAAAATGTTTCAATTCATAACAAAATCTTTGAACCGGCCGGGGGGGTTTTCTGGTTCTTTTGGTTGGGTTTGGGTCGCCTGAAGTTAATTCCCCGTCACTTGGTGGTTGAGAATCTGGAACTCTTCACTAGTCTCCTCGTCGCTTGGAGGTTCGGAATCTGAATCCTCTTCACTGAGTACTTTCCAGGATTTTAGTTGAGATGCGTGTGCGGTAGTGGAGTAAACTGTCTTGCCTTCTGACGTCAGCTCGGCCACTCGATAAGTTTCTGAGGGCAGAACTTCGATGACCTGCAGCGGGCAATCACAATACTTGGACTGTAGTTTTGTCGATTGACCTGGCACAGGTTGCCTCAGCATGACTATCACCTCTCCCGCTTCAAAACGTACACGGTTATGATGGCGTTGGTCGTACCACCGCTTCATCTGATTCTGTCCCTTTACTACCGAGTCTCGTACTTCACCATGTTGCTCCGCTGGTTCCGCCCGATCATTCTTGGTCCGGCTCAGTGAGTGTAGGACCCCTCCCTGGTAGCGTGGTTAATATCCATACAACGCTTTTTATGGGGTTTTCGACGTTGTTTTGTTTTCTGCAGAATTAAGGTGTCGCTCGACGTCAGGTACTTTTGCGTTCCACGTGCGTTGATCCGTAGCAGTAAGGCTCAGCAGCGGCAAGATGGTGCGATTAGCCTGTTCTACCTGCCCATTTGCCTGTGGATGACGAGTAGAATTAAGTACATGACTTATACAATTTATTTTACAAAATCTCTCGAAGCCACGAGACGTGAAACACGTTCCCCGGTCGCTGATGATTCGATCCGGTAGTCCCCTTTCTTCGACAAACTTTCGCAAGATTCGCAGCATGCCAGCTGCGTCCGTTGTACGGCATGGACACAGATTAGAGCAGCAGTTCCCAAACTTTTAGGATCACGGAACCCTTAGAAAATAGTTTGTGTTTTGCGGAACCCTAATGTCTTTACTTCCAACTCAACGTCATTTTTTCTAAAAAAAAAAACAGTACTACAAAAAATATTTTAATGATATTGTTAATGATTATTGTTTATTACAATTAGTTAAAAAACAATTTTCTATGACAATTTTATTTATTTAAATAACAAACATTTATTATTTAATTATCACAAATATTTATTTTTAAAAAATTATAATTAATTAGATTTTAAAATATACATACTATTAATATATTTAGTGAGAAGAATGGAACTGTTTCATTAGATTAAAAATATTTTTAAAATTAGGTTTTATATCTGAAACTTGAATTCGTAGGTCTGAAGCGGCATTTAATCTATTTCTGTATTTATTGTTCGTATACGCAAAAGAGGAAAAGCCAGCCTCTCAACGGTGGGTTGTTACAAACGGTAATAGAATAGCTTTTTCAACTAGAGATGGGTACTCGTCCTTAAATTCAATCCAAAATTCATTTAAAGATCTATATTCAAATTTCTGTTTTAAATATGACATGCTTTTAATTTCAACATTGCAGGTTTTTTTTGGTTCACAAAAGGACTTTGTATCCAATCAACGTCATTATAAGTAGCAGGAAAATACTGAGACAATGATTTTTCGAGGTTTTCCAAATGTTCGATAACAATTTTTTTAATATTAGTTGTTAGTTGCATTTCGTTTTCCTTTAAAAAATCCATCAAAAGAGGAAAGCATTCAAAATGAATGTTGTTATTGTTTTTCCTTGCAAAGACTTGTTAATTTCATTTAGTTTACTGAATATGTCTGAGAGATAAGCTAATTTTATAAGCCATTGGTTATCGTGTAATAACTCATAGATATAGATAGATTTTGTCCTGAAAAAAAAATCTTTAAATCATCGCGCAGTTCAAACAACCTACTTAGAACCTTTCCTCTTGAAAGCCATCTGACTTCAGTGTGAAGAAGATGTGAATAATGCTGACTACTCATTTCTTCACATACTTTTTTAAAAAGTCTAGACTAGAGTGAACGACTCTTAATATAGCTTACAATACATACAGTCTCATTAAGAACTTGTTTTAACTACAATGGCATTTTCTTACTAATAAGAGCGTGGCGATGTAGAACGCAATGACTACTGTGACATTTTGGTGCGACATTTTTAATTCTTGTCACGGTTCCTTTAATTTTTCCAACCATCACTACATACATCGATACATTTAACCCAATCAACCTGATGTTTATTCATATAACTATCGATGACTTTAAAAATTTCTTCACCTGTGGTATTTGTGTCCAAAGGAGTACAAAGCAATAAATCTTCTTCGATAGATGTTTCAAAAATAAACCTCACGAAAACAAGCAGTATTGAAAGTCCATCCAGCAACGTCAGTACTTTCGTCAAGTTGAATAGCAAACATGTTACAACTTTAACCTGTTTATTAGTTGATCTTCAATATGGTCCGATATTTTATGTATCCGATCAGATATAGTGTTGTTGGAGCATTGAACAGTTGCAATTTTCTTAGCAGCCTCTTCTCCAATCATGCAGCGAAGTATATACATAGTCATACATGGTTTAATTAGAGACTCAGCATTGTATGTGGTTTACCAGCACGAGCAATGCTGTAATTCAAAATAAATGATGCTTCTGTTGCATTTTCACTGTCGTTTTTCGCGTATTTATGTAAGGCAGACAAGCTGTTATTATGTTCTTCTTTACGTTTTTTAAAATAGCCCATTTCCTTGTTTATCAAATTTGGATGGTTGGTTTCGAGGTGTCGTTTAAGTTTTGCAGGTGACAAAGAACTGTTCTGAAGAATTACATTACAAATAACACATTGTCCATCAAGCCTTTCTACAGTACCAACAGGAATAAATCCAAATTGAAGGTAGGATTCGTCGTATTTTCTCTTTTTCGAAGGTTTTAACTCAATAATTTCAGGTACAACTTACTATACTTTTTTTCTGAAATATTACTATGAAAATTATTTTTCATGACATTAGTAATCTAAAATAAATTAAATAATAATAATGACAATATAATATTATATTATATAATTATAATAATTATAATTACAAGACTGGAAACGACTAAAAATTAACTAATTTTATTCAAATTTCTTATCGAACAACTATGAATTGCATCTTTCAATATAACTTGTTGAGATTCTATTGTTGATGAAGACGCCACAATCTCATCAATATTATTAATTGTTGTTTTGGCCAACAATCGTCCTGTTCTAAGCCAATTATGCATGGCAAACTTTTTATTTGTACAATATTATAATATTATTATAATATAATTATTTGTAAATAATAATTAATAACGCAGTAACAACGTACACTAAGTATGTCGTATGACAACTATATGCCAAATAGAGGTGTGTCGTTCTCGAACGAACGGGTCGTTTGATCCGATTCAATGTATTGAACGAAATGAACCGGATCGTGTAAAAATGAACCAGTCGTTCGTCAATATTTTATTTTTTTTTGTGAATTGGATACACTGGATACGACCCGTGGGCCGTGAACCGATTCGTTGATCGTTCGCGAACGAATGTACTTTGTAGTAAGTTGCACTATTCGGGTTTCTAGATGCGGACGACTCTAACAGGAGATAACAGTTATCATAAAAAAATAATAATCTACTATAACCGTTTTAGATCAATGCTGTAAAAACACACAAACAGTAAACACAAAAATTGTTTTTTTTCGAATGTTTTTATGCATGAAAATATTGCCATAAAGTTTTAAATTCTGGCATTAACTGTCTTCAGTATTATTTTTCAAACATATCAGTATGTAAGTAGTTAAGATGCAGTATAAAAACATGGTATTTACAGTTAATAAGAGTGTCACATTTAATTTATATGAATGAAATTGCCTTTATGTTTTATATGCTGTCAAACTTTCTTCAGTATTCTTTTAAATACATGTCAATGTAACATAAAAACATTTTTTACAAATATAGGTACCTGGTACACATTAGAAGGTTCACATATTATGATTCAAAAATAAAATTTGTGAAATCTAACTGGTTTTCAATCTACTTCTTTTTTCAGTCACTACTTGTCCAGCTCTTGAGAAAACTAGTTCACAAGGCACTGAAGTTGCAATCATGCATAATCTTCTTTTCACCAACTCATACATTCTGGGATAAACATTTTTTCATTCGGCCCACTAAGCTAAGGGATTTTCAAATCTACTTATTAGGTTCGTTCAAATACTTATCTACTTCGATGATTCCAGCAACTGGTGGATTTGTTCCTCCAATCAAATTAACAACTGTTTGATGAAGTGGTTGAATTTGTAGTGGCAGTGGTAATTGTAGGTTGTTGTTGTTCAAATGTGTCCGGTTCTAGTATAATACTTTGAATCTTTGCCCTTAGGAAATTGATAGCATTTTCACATTTTGTACCGTTGTAAAACATATGCTTTTTGAATCTTGGATCTAAGAGTGCTGCTTGAGTTACCAATGGATTATCTTCAATGTCATAAAACTTTTTAATCAACTCTTCACTCATTGTATTAGCCATATGCTGATTAGCAGTTGGTAATGTATTATTGTTAACAAACTTTGAGACATACTTATTTAATGAATTAACAAAAATAATTTCTTTTGATAGTGTAACATATTTGTCAACACTAATCTCAACATTGACGTCATAAAATATTTTTAATATATCCCGTGCATCCTCAAGAAGAATCCATTCCTCTGAACTGAGACGGTTTAACTCACTGTTACCCAATACTGCAAGGGTAGCTATGATAGATTCTTTAATCGATAAAATCCTGTCAAACATATCATATGTTGAGTTCTAACGGGTTGGGCTGTCTAATTTAAGCTTTAGTTGAGGTAAGCCAGTTTGTTTTTGAAAATCTTGTAATTTTCCTAAAGCGTGGAAACTTTTCTTAAAAAACTTGACAATTGTCTTTACTTTTAGTATAGTTGGCTCAATGGATTTCAAACTTGTCTGAACAACCAAATTGTTCGAATGAGCAAAACAAGACAAATACCACCAGTTGCATTTTTGTAATGCAGATTTAATACTGCTAGCATTGTCACTTATCACACCAGCTATTTTATTATTCAAGTTCCACTCATCTAAAGTATTTCTTAAAAAAATCGCTAAGTTCTCTGCAGTATGTCTCTCACAGAAATTGGTACAACCTAGCAATACTGATGACAGCTGTGTTTCATTTGAAGGGTCGATAAAATAAACTGTGACTGCAACAAAACTTTCATTATTTAATGAAGTCCAGCCATCTGCGGTCATGCAAACTGCCGAAACATTTATTAATTGATTTTCAACTTTTTCAATGGTTATCTTATACATTTGAAGCAATAAGCTCTGGGTGACAGTTTTTCTTGATGGTATGATATAACTTGGATTTAACATTTGAATCAAATTTCTAAATTCCTTATACTCAACAACACTGAATGGGTGATACTCTTTTACAATCATTTTGACTAGTTGTTGGTCAATTGCCTTTGACTTACTCATTGTAATTGGTCTTTGAACAAAGTTTGTCATAGTCATTTGCTTACGGTTTTGCTGTCTTGGAAGCTGTGGCATTGTTCCTAAACTAGATTGATTTTTCATAATTGTTGAGGAAGTTAATGGCTGTGGGTTAACAAATGAGCCAGAGTTTGAATCATCGTCCTATGATTTTTAAATTCATTTTTATTATTATTTTTTTAGTATTGTCGGAGTAAAAATATTGACATATCACTCGAAAAAGTCGGTGAATGCCATTGATGTAAGTGTAAAAAATCATTAGATGCGTTGTAGATCCCTAATATATTAATTTATATAATATATTAATTTACCTGTTTACTTCTTTCCAGTAGTACTGTTGGGTGTTTGGTCTTAATATGCCGTTACAAGTTTCCTGTTGAGCCACCATTAAAACTTTTTGTTTCTGAACAAATATTACATTTTGCCTTGACGTTATCTAATGCAGTGAAATGGTACCAAACCTACTACGTTTTCTATTCATTGTACGGGATGACATGGTGCTACTACTAATAATAATTATGCATAGTTTTAATATTTGTTTTTATCATATAATATAGTTTTTAGAAAAATACTCACTTAATTAATTTTAAAATAAATGTATACTTGGTGTAACAAATAAATAAATTAATATGACTTCAAATCTGGAATAGAAAATATTACAACTGGAGTACGGACGTATGAACACGAACAAGACGTAGGTAAGCCGGACTGGGCTTTCAATGGGAGGGCTAGGCTGGGAATTGTGTTAAAATGGTCAGGGCTGGGTGGGCTTCATTATATAATTTTAACTTTAGGAGGGCTTGGGTTTCATAAATTAAAATAGTAGAGGGCTCTAATGGGCCGGGTTTTTCATATCAGATAAGGACCGGGTTGGGCTTGGAAAAATAGGCCCATACAGTGCTCTAATACAGATGCACGTATTTGGTAAGATTGTCTGCGATCACCAGTAAATAACGATTTTTGGAATTTGACGTCTCGAACGGCCCCAAATGGTCGATATGTATTATCTGGAACGGTCGTCGTCCTGGCGGTGTCGGATGAAGCAGTCCCGCCTGCTTTCCCGCCGGTCGTTGGTGCGTTAAACAATCTATACAAATTTTAATATGTTGTCGTACGTACCTCCTCATACACGAGAACCAGTAGTCTTTCGTTATTCGATCTGTGGTTCGGTCGACTGAAAAATGTCCACAGTAGTCGTGTACTGACATAACGACACCCTTCCGCATTGATTTTGGCACAACCAACAGCGGTCGACCTCGGAACATGCGGTAGAGCACCCCGTCACACAGTTCGTAGTGGTTCACTTCTGCTTCTTCGCCCTTTGTGCGTTCGTTGGGTGACTCCAACAAGTTAATTACCTTGCGAGTATGTTCATCTGCCTGCTGCATGAATCTGGCCCGATCCGCGGTCGTGAGACCGATGAACACTTCCAGGCGACCCGAGAGTTCGGCTGGATGTATTCGTGGATTCAGGGTTGTTGGGCGACTGACACGCTGATGAGGACGTTCGTACTACCTGTGTTGACGAACCCTTTTACAGACGTGTCGTTTATTATCACAGTTTTGGTGTAGAGGTTTTCCGAACTACGTGTAGCGGTCGAGTTCACGTAGTTTGCTGACTGACGGTTCAAGCTCGTCTCAGCCGATGACTCGTCTTCTCTGTCGGGGCACCGCACAGTGGTCCAAAAAAAAAAAGTTGGAAAAAAATATTTTCATGGTGATTTTTATTATATTTTGACTTAAGCAAACAATAAAAAGTATTTAATATTTTATTTCATTGTTATTTACAGTAAATTAATTACGAATTAGTTTTTTATATATTAATCTACATTTTAATATACAAATGTTCATAATATGCTAGTTGTTTTCAATTTAATTATTCGTACTCCATAAATTCGTCTTCACTATTTTCTTCATTAATGTAAACATCCTATTCATTTTCTCTTACAATACATACAAACAGTTTTGCTTCATCGCATAATGTGGTTGATTTTTTATTACTAAATTTTCTTATACTCGAAATAAGTGGATCTGATGAAATGAGCAAGTTATTAAATAAATCTTCCATCGTATTTTTTCTGGATATTTTTCTTGTGTTATTTTCCCTAAACCTCTTCATGTCCTTATTCCTAGCTTCCTGTGCTTCTTCTGATAATAAACCGATTGGCAATATGGCATTTTCAACAATTTGTGTTCCGTGAATCAAAATTTTGTGAACTGATGCTGGTAGATAAAACCATGGATATTTACTAATGAATAATTGAGCTGTCTCAAATGCATAGTTATTGAATTCAACTCCTAAAATAAAATAAAGAAAACTAATATTTTTTAAATGGTTATTCATTCATTACCTATTTATTAATTATTTTATTAAGCTAGTAGAATACCTAATATACTATTTTAAATGACATTATTTTGTTTTATATTACCTTTAATTTCTTCACCTGATGATATAACTTCAAGTATAACTTTGAATCATACTATGATATTTTTATCGACACTGGTTATAGAAGATGATACGTCTGGATTAGAAAAAAATCGTCTGGCCGTGTTACAACCATTAGTTGTGCCACTTCCTCCAGGATGAGGTTGATCAATCATTTCTTGTCTAAACTTTTTTTTTTTTTATTTTAAAAGAATATTTACAATCTATACAACATACGAGGTATAATGAGTAAGTGTGGTAACATAAGAACATTAGACATATATAACATGATAGGAAGGCTCCCAGCAGTGCCACCTGACCAGAAATTAGATTTTTTTTTTTTAATAGTTTTTCGTTAGTTTCTCTTTTTTTTTTTTTTTTTAAGCATTGAGCAGGTCTCTTGGACATTTTCTTTTTAACCCTTCTAGGAATGAGTGAGGAAGTGGATAGATTTTTAATTAGTGGATTTGAATGAGCGCGAAGTTTTGAGTGGAATTTTATGTAATGAGATTTGGCTAAGTCGTTGAGGGTTGGAATATTAAGGTCATTGTGGAGGTTTTTGTTGGTTACGTACCAAGGGGCAGAGGTTATTAAGCGTAGGCATATGGATTGGAATGCTTGCAAGGTTTTGGTATTTGATGGCTTTGCTGGCCCCCATAGTTGGATGCCGTAAAGCCAAGCCGGACGAATTATCGATTTGTATATCGTGAGTTTGTTGGCTAGAGAAAGTTTCGATTTTAATAGGGGTCTCAGAAGATGCAGTCTAGAATTCACAGATTTGCGTTTTTGTTTTAGATGTGAGCTCCAGGTAAGGCGTTTGTCAAATACTAATCCTAGGTACTTTACTACATCTGATGAAGGAATTATTTTGTTATTAAACGTGACAGGTGGGCAATCAGAATTGCGCAATGTAAAAGTTACATCAGTAGACTTGTTTTCATTGATTTTTATTTTCCACCGTTTTGTCCATAAGTTTATCATATTTAGGTGACTTTGGATCATCCGACAAGCAGTTGAGGAATCCTGATGTGACGCTCAAATTAGAGTGTCGTCGGCATATGTACCAAGGAAAGTGAAGGATGTTTTTGGGATGTCGTGGGTGAATACAGAATAGAGAAAGGGAGCGATGTCGCTACCTTGTGGGACACTAGCTAAGATACGATAGCTGGTTGAATAACTATTTTTTATACGAACCTTAAAGGAACGGTCAGATAGGTATGATTTTATTAATAAGAAATATGGTGCTGGAAGAAACTTTTTTAGTTTGAAGAGTAACCCTTCATGCCAGACCCGATCAAAGGCCTGCGAGACGTCCAGAAACACAGTGGGGCAGACTTCTTTTTTCTCCAGCTCGTTGGAGATTTTATCGACAGTGCGATGAAGTTGGTGGATAGTCGAGTGATGGGATCTGAACCCGAATTGGGTGTGAGGAATGATATTAGCTGCAGTGGCAAGGGGGATGAGTCTTTTTAAGAGTATTTTTTCGAAGATTTTAGAGAAAGTAGGGAGAAGACTTATCGGTCTGTATGATGCAGGATTTTCAGGAGGTTTGTTTGGCTTGAGAATGAGTATTATGATGAAGTGCTTCCAGGTGCTTGGAAAGAAAGATAATCTGAGTATTGCATTGTAAAGGTGGGATAGGTATACTATGGCTTTACGTGGTAGGTTTTTTACGATATAGTTCGTTATTAGGTCATGACCTGGGGATTTTTTGGCTGGAATTTTTTTTAATTATTGTGTTAATTTCATCGGGAGATGTAGGTTTGGCTGGCATGGACATAGGCAGAGGTGCTTCAGTGGCGTAGCTAGACACTTTTTTTTGGGTAGGCCCGATATTTTGATGTAAGGATTACCAATGAATAGTTTTATAAAATAAAAAAGTATCAGAATACCGTATGTTATACAATTATAGGCATATTACACAGATTTATCTTATATTGTAAGACTAAAAGTATAAAATTAAATTAATAAAAAAGATATAACTTTATTAAAATAGTTTTAGATTGAAAATTCTAATTTTCTTTTATTCATTGATGCAAACTCGTCAATTACAGCAGATGGATTTTCTATGAATTTTCCACTTATTTCTCTCTCAATAGACAGCAAAGTTAAATTATTTAGTCTGCTACTTGTCATCGTTGACCTCAGATATGTTTTTACTCTTTTCATCGTTGAGAAACTCCTTTCTGCTGAGGCACTAGATACTGGAACTACCAAAACATTTTCAATAATTTTTGTTAATTCTTAAAATCCAACTTTGTATTTTTTTACTTCTTGATATAATTCAAAAATATCAGATACAGATAAAAATAAGGTTTTTCCCAGTTAACTTGGCATTTTAATTTGGTAATAAATTATAATATCTGGCTCCCAATATGAACTTCATTTACTATTAATTGTAATACAAGCTTTGAAGTAGCTTTTATTATATCATTTTGTATTTCAGGCGATATGTATTTGCTATTTTTAGGTAATAAATTAAAATTTGTTTTAAAATGTTCATTTTCGATGGAAAGTAATTTTATAATTTCTAAAAAGTTACCTTCATTTACGTCATGACGTGAACACAAACTTGCATCATAATTTTCACTATTGAATTCTTCTTTTCTTTCTCTTCGATGTTCTCGTAGTCCGATATCTTGCCGTGCACAATATAAAACACACCTTATTACACTTGTTAAAATAGCTCGATTTTTTATAACTTGCTCCTTGACTTGTTTATTTATTTGAGTCGAAACTGATCCAGTTTTTTTGGTTGATAGCCATGCGCCATATTTAGCAATTGCATTTTTATGTGAAGTAGTCTTATCATGTTTTTTAGTCATGTTACTTATATTTTTCCAATCACAATATCCACCAGTAATTAGAACATCTTTTTCAATTTGCGAATGAGAAGGAAAATGACGACAATAATAACAAAATACAGCATTCATTTTAATTGAGTATTCCAACCATGGGTACTTATTGTACCAACTGCTTTGAAAGCTACGTTGCTTCCCAGATATAAAAGTACGAGGAAAACTGATGACAGGTTGTACAGCGGTATCCTCACAAGTTACACTAATATCAAAAATGTTTAAATTCAACTGTTTATTTGTATCTGATATTGGTGTACGCGCACTTGATTCTGGGTCATTAGGCTCCGAAACAGTTGAAACAGCAGTTGATTTTAAATTACCTGGTGTGATTAAAAAACGTTCCATTTTTCGAGCAACGCGACGGACTAAGTAAAAATATAAGCGAAATATAATCACTAACTTGTACTAAAGGCGAACGGAGTGACGCAGTGCGATTAGTATTAAACTAATCGACAATCGCAAGCGTATCTATCCGACTACAACTTATATTACCGTCTCGTTATTTTTGGAAATAATCGTCAATTGAATGGATAAGATTAATATCTATCATATTGTAGGAAACGGGCAATACGGGCTGTCGGGCTATAATATTATATTATACACTGGCTTTGATGCACTATACATTTCGACGGATGCCGATTAACAGGAATTGATCGGTTATTAAACCATAACACTCAAAATAAAAGACGTGTCATTAACTGATTTGCAGAACCGATTAAAAACCATCAGGATTTAATTTCGATAATTAAAATTAATATTAATTTTAATATTAATATTAATTCTATTATTTTAAATACATATTATAGTCATATACACTACATATTTAAAAGGATAAAAATTTTTTTTGGAAAAAAGTGGGTAGGCCCGGGCCTACCAGGCCTACCCGCTGGCTTCCAGGTAGTTTTCAACTATCTACTTTTTGTTTTACACTTGATAACAGCTGTCAATGCATCATTATACTCCTGGTATGAAAAGAAACTAGTGTCTACCGGGACCTTGCGACACAATTTAATAAGACGTTGTAAACGAATAATAACTCTCAACATACGATTTAGAGACGAGAAGCGAGAGAACCACTCAATCGGCTCTCCTGTAGTTTCAACAACACAAGACACAGGACCTGTGACCTCAGGCAACTGGTCTGAGGGAATCAAATTAACTTCTGACGACCAACTCTCACCGAACTGGTGGAGGAAGGTAGGACCTTTCCAATAAAGATCATGCTGAGCTAGCTCACCAGGTCGTTAACCTCGAGAGGCACAATCTGCTGGGTTCATATCAGTGCTAACATAAAACCAACTACAAGACGGTAACAATTAATTTATCGGTTAGATACAAAAATCTTATACGAAACATGGGGGGTTTTTAACCAAGATAGGTAGCACTACTGACGAGTCAAACCAAGCAAAAACGTTTTGGATAGTTATCTGAGTCGAGAGAGTGATCTGGATGCGACTTAACCAACGAGCGAGCAACCCGGCTCCACAGAGCTCAAGGCGAGGAATAGACATGGCTTTGGTTGGTGCCAGTTTGGTCTTACTACCTAGCAAGAACATAGAGACCCTACGGTGGCGATCTGATACTCTTAAATAAACTACAGCTGCATAGCCTTTGATAGAAGCATCAGAGAACCCACATAATTCATATTGTGACCCTTCAGAGGTACCAACAAACCTTGGTACTTGAATCGTGGATAGATAATGTAACTCATTAACAAAGGACATCCAAGAATGTTCTAGTTCCAACGGAAGCCGATCATCCCATGAAACACCAGACCGCCAAACACATTGCAACTGATGCTTAGCATGAAAAATTACAGGGGATAAAAAACCAAGTGGGTCATAGATTCGCGCAATTACCGACAACATACTACGTTTGGATGAAACAAACTTGATTGAACTGACATTGTAGTTGAAGGTGTCGACATCAGGATTCCACTTCATACCCAAAATCTGAACTTGAGGTGAATTGTCAATGTTGAATGGGAGAGAACCAGCTGCTCTATCTTCCGAAGGTATGTTCTCCAACAGCTGAGGAGAATTACTAGCCCATTTCTTTAACTCTAGGCCAAACTGGCTGAGAATAGAAATCAAATCATCTTTAATTGCTTGAGCTTCCCGGAAGCTATCTGCCCCAGTACAAATGTCATCCATGTAAGTTTGATACATAAGAGCTGCCTGTACCAGAGGATATTGTTGACCATAGACAACCGCTATTTCCTTCAACACTCTCAGTGCTAGGTAGGGAGCTGTTCCAACACTATAGGTGACAGTGTTCAATTCAAACTCTTGAACTTTGTCGTGAGGAGACGCTCTTCACAGAATATGCTGGTACTGACGGTACTTAGGAGCTATCAAAATCTGTCGGTACACTTTACAAATGTCAGCTGTAAAAACAACTGAGTGGATACGAAAACGAAGTAGTATGTCTACTATATCCTGTTGGAGCTTAGGACCCACAAATAAAGCATCATTAAGGGAGGTGTTTGAAGGAGGTCGAGCTGACGCATCAAATACTACCCGGAACTTCATGTTGTCCCCTTCCATCTTGTGAACTGCATGGTGAGGGATAAAATATGAACCAGGAGACTTGGCAGGTGACATATGACCGAGTGATTCATAATCCGCCATAAACTGTTGGTAAGCCAAGTATAAGTATTTGTCCTGAATCAATTTACGTTCTAGACGTTCAAAGCGAACAAGTGCCAACTGGCGGGAGCCATGAAAAACGAATGATGTAGGTGGGGTACGAAAAGGAAGCGGCACCACAAATCTGCCAGAACTGTCACGGTAAGTTTCCTGAGCGAATATCTCTTCACATCTTCCTTCTTCAGTGAATGATTGTGGCGCCTCATCAGGTTCTTCAATCTTCCAAAATCTCTCAACTAGAGATTCAATCGAAGTTGTTAATAAGGAAATCATCATAGTCTGTTGCGGAGCTGCTGGTAGAGATGGATCAACTGGACCAAGGAGAATCCAACCGAAGATAGTATCAAAGGCAGTAGGTAATCCAACACCTAAGTCATGTCTTCTGCTGCGGATCACTTGAGGGAATACATCTGCACCAAGCAGCAATTCAACTGGAGCTGGTGAGTCAAAATTAGGATCTGCCAAAACTAGATGAGAGCACTTGTTCCTGACGGAGACCGGTAGTTGTGCCGATGGCATTGACCCTGTTATTTTAGGCATAGTCCAAGTAGAAAGGTTGATCATGCTGCCATCTGTAGCCGATTGGATGCTGATCTGCACTCTGCCATTGATGGATTACACTAACTGACCTGCTAGACCAGCTACTGGGACTGTCCACTGTTCACAGAATAGACCTAGACGTTTAACACACTCAGAGGTCATTAGACTCACTTGGAAAGCGGGGTCAATCAAAGCCCGAACTGGCTGCAAACACCCAGCTACATCACAGACATTGACTGAAGCGGTGCCCAACAAGATCTGGAATGTTGAGTGCCAATATACGATGCAACAGGGTCCTTGCTTGGAGGTATCTTGGCATGGGAATTATCTCGATGTAACAGCTGGTGATGACGACCGTGAAAAACAGAACATGAGGATTTACATTTGTTTGCCCAATGATTGCTACCGAAACAAACCATGCACAACCTGTGCTTGCTCGCTAAAGCGTAGCGATCATCGATCGACAAGTCCTTAAAGGTAGAGCATGACGTTAAAGAATGAGAACCGTTACACTGCTCACAACGATGAGACTCTCCAGCTGGTTTGTTAGCAAATAACGCCACTGGAGAACCTTGATGGCTTCGAGGAGCCTTAGAGCCCGATTGGTTTGGCTTGGAATTTGTATGCTTAGGTTTATTGAAGACGAGCTTTGCTTGAGGCTTAACTGTGGCCTGGATCAAAGATGAACCAGAGTTTTCCAACACCTCTACCCTATCTTTGGCAAAGTATAATAAACTATCAACAGTAGGAAAATCAGCCGTGTTTCCCTGTTCAAACAGACGGCGTGTAGTTGAAGGCAAACAACGAACTGATATTGCAAATAACAGGAATGAACCTAAATCAGGTATATTCAATGACTGAAGAAGAGCTATGTTCTCACAAAAGGTATTCAAAAAATTAATTAGTACTGCAGGAGATTCCTGATGGTTAATTTGAGCATTGAGCATTTCATTAACCAAAGTAGTAGCCAACTGACGAGGTTTATCATACCTTTGAACTAAGGCAGACCAAGCAAGTTCATAAGTGGATTCCGAAACCGTGATACCCTTGACTACATCACTAGGACCAGACTGTAAACATCCTAATAAGTAATAGAACTTCTCTCTATTACTCAGGTGTGTCCTATTGCCCACTAAAGTGGTTAAACGGTCTCTAAAGTCTGGCCAGTTTTGAAGGCGACCATCAAAGGTAGGCAATGGAATCTTGGGTAACTGAACACCTGAATCGGAAGGGACTGTACTAGCGATGAGAAGACCTACTTGAGCTGTAGGATTTGATACCGTATCAACGTTATCGTTAACAATGTCAGAACCCGGTTTGTCATTATTACTAGTGACACTAGCCGCAACACCAGCATCTGAACTAGAGCGGAATTTATTTGCCAAGGCTTTAACATCGAGTAGAGTATTTCGAACCTCCAATTCAACGTTATTGGAAAATTCACCATGCGTACCCAATTCAATCATAGCTTCTAACATGGTGTCATTCTCAAGGGTGAACGTTTCCCAATGGTTCTGAATATCTTCACTGGCTATGAGGAATTTGGGAATGACAGAACTGTCAGTAGAAGCAGATAAACCCAAAGCATAAATTGACTCGATATGGCTTGCAGCTGCATCACGTTTCACTGCGGCACGTTGCTTGTTACGCATCAGGCGTTCCTTATCACCCATGATAATAAAACAAATACACACCTAGACAAGACTAGTAAGCTGTTAACTATAACCACTTAGGTATAAGATGATATTTTTATACAAACAGAAAACAATTTACTTAGATAAATAAATGTTGAATAACTAACAACAGAACAAGGCAATTATCTATAAATGATATATTATTGAATAATAATATATTGACAACAACTGTATGCTTATAAGTTGTAACAATAACCTTAATAAAGTAAATAACAAAAAACAATATTAAGATAGAATAGTTAAGGACTAAACAAAATAACCAACCAATATCAACCATGAAATAAGACCTAAAAATTCAGATATCAGTAATCAAATATAAAACTAAACTAGAATCTAACGAACAAATCAACAATAAACGACATGCTATAACTAAATAGCATAACCAGACAAATAAAATTAAATCATTAACAATTAATCAGTCACTAACTTGTGAACCAGTGATACAATACAATGAACAAACTAATAAAAATATTTAACTATTTAGAAAAAAACTATAAACAGTCAAAAAATAAAATAAATGTATCATAAGTGAAGCTAACGCTATCTAATGACCACCATAACAACACTGACAACTATAACAACAAAATTGGTTTGATATATTATATCATCCTTCTCAACAACAATAAAATATTAATACTAAACAATATTATAATAAGTGTATTCAGTCCTTTGCGGGGGCCCTAATACCAATTAGACACGAGCTGTGCTTTTAGTTAACTTAATAGATTAGGGCGGGCATTAAGAAATATAAAAAAACCAATATGTAAAAACACTAACTTTATAAAATATCCTATTGAGGTAAGAACACCTAACTGATGATATGTATAATTGAGAAATATATATTATAATTATACTATAACCCTTATATCTATAAAACAATATAACTTAAATAGGAACTATCGTTAGGAAGGATATGTACTTATATGACAACAATATGACCAATATACCTCAAAATCCAGTAGTGATGCTGCACCTTTATCTTGAAACCACGCCCTGCTACCATTGTTTACGCCAACAGCACTCCTTATACCAAGGTTGGCACCTACGACTCGCACCACACTAGGAATTGGTAATTACTGAAATTATAACATTAGTTAACAAACTGTAGTAAGGAGAAAATATGCGGGGAACAAATTAGTTGTAAGGGGGTGAATAGGCGGTAGGGGAAGGTAATGGTTATAGGGGAGAGATACGTGTGTTATAATAAATATTGGAGATTTCCGCTTATGATCTCCCTACTACTGTGTTGTACCTAACTTCCTAACGATAGTTGAATTACCTACTTTTATTGGTCGTAGCCCATTCGGCTCCCGTTTCTCTAATCGGCTCCCGTTTTACAAAAAGGGCAATTCCCAAACGGCTCCCGTCTAAAAAGGTCTAACGAACAGGTAAATTCCTAAACGGCTCCGGTTTTGTACACCACAAATTCCTTCCCACTTTATACAGACTTAGGACTGTCTCAAAAGAGGTGTGGTTAAAAATGTCTTGGTGTACACTATGTAAATTATTAAAATTATATAAAAAAAAGTGTATAGTATAATATTAAATTTTAAGTTTTTAACGTTAAAAAAATATATAAAAAATGTATAAAATGTATAAATAAAAATGTTAAAAAAATCATATATCGGGTAAATTTGTTAAGCACAATTTTTTTATATAGTCTATGCGTGATATTTTATTTGATGAAAACTCGCAAATGATTTTTTCGACGAACTCTTGCTTTTTTTTCGATCTTGGTGTATTAAAATAACTTCGAGCTTTAATTTGTGTTTCAGATTGTATATTGAGTAGGATGTCAATAACCTTAAAAATATTTGGGTGTGTAGTATTGAATTCTTTGTTGAATTTACTGTGGAACGCTTCACATCCATTTGTGGTCAAAGAAAGAGCAGATGAACACTCAGCCCACATTTTAGGAGGGAAACGACTATCTGAAGTTAGGTAATTTTCAAAAATATAGTCGAAAACTTTGTCTATTTTATCATCTATAGGTTTGATAGCCATTAAATCGTCTGTAAAACAATCTAAGACGTCTGACGGTGGTAAGTAAGGAAGGCCAAATAAATATTTCAACGCTCTTCCGATTCTAGAATCTTTGTCTCTGAATTCTGAAGCAAGTCCCACTGACTGAATCATCCGCCACCAACTTTGACCCAAATGAAATCTACACCCCTTTATGTTAACCGATGGCCACGTTTTTCGCAGTGCAATGTGAATAGCTTCCTCAAAATCTACGAAAACAACTTGTGGATTTAAGTGATCACACAATGCTGAAAAAGCTTTTCCGTAGGTTACTGAGGTTTTATCTGGTAAAAAACAGTAAATAAGGGGAAGATAATATCCGTTATGTAAAACATGAACGGTGAACATTTGATAAAAAAATTTCGGACAATACTTGAATGTGCCATCAATATATATACATCGGTTTTCCTTAAGAATATTTATATTGGTGTTACACGTAAGGATAACAATATTTGACGCTTTATCGTTAAAAAATAAAAAATTCTCACCCGCCAAAGTTGTAATATTAATTTTGTCTAAACTATCTTGAGCTTCTTCTGTTGATTTTGGTAATTTTGGTAAGGATTTCGAACGAACATAGTATACCGATTTGCGAATAGCGTTGACATCTTGTGTTGTCAACACATTTAAATCGTTCGGTTCAAGTTGAGTTCGAAGAAGTTTCGCTGGCTTTTCATGCAAATTTTCTTGAGCTTTACGCTTTAAATTGCTACTTATTTCCCTCCTCCTTATAACATTGTCATCTAAATGTAAGTGGTTATGTTCCAGATGTTCATCAAACATTTCTCCAATACTATTTCGCTTAAAATAAGATTTACAACCACGCGTTGTACATTTCCAGCGCTCTACGTCACCAGCGAGTTTTTTATGGAAAGAAAACCAAAAATTTTCTATCAATTTTTTTTCACGCATTTCACTAGACATGTTAGAAAAATAATAAAAATAAATGAACGCACACAACGACGGCGAATATCGCGAACAGACTGAAATCTGAACAAACTGCACAAATTGATACGATTGTGTGCCATATCGCAATCTGATAAAATTGTAAAAGTAAAATTGTTATCGACATTATATTGTCAATATTTCCAATTAGCTATAGTTTAATGTTTCGGTTTTTTCGACATTATCAATATACCTATTCTATATTTTCCTTTATATTCCGTTTTATATATTTATATATAAATATGATACACATGAACTGTATACATATACTATACAACAACAGAAGTGTATGCTGTTTTGGAAGACAGGCGTGCATATGTCCAATAATTATTGTAGAGTTTACAATTATACATTTATACCTATTTGAACATTTTTTTTTTGGACGGGAGCCGTTTTGGAAATAAGCGAACAATAGATGAGAGCCGTTTGGGATCCGACGCTTTTATTATATAAACATTTAAACACTTACCTCACTGTAGCTGGTTATCTTTTAAGTGGTTTGTAGTTCTTCGGAGTCGTGTTCGACAGTCGATATCACGATGACAATATATGTATAGTCTTTTATGTGATCTGTAGGATTTCGTATATAAATTTCTACCTGTGACTATCACCATATGCTCTTAAAATCCTTGCATTAGTAACAGGAGTAAGTATAGTCTCTCCGCCAACCGAATGTAATTTAGAGTGATGAATATTTGTTATTACACATTTATATCTTGAACACAGCTCTTAGAGTTTCTACATTCGTAACAACTAGTACGTATAGTCCAATCGCCGACCGAATGTAATTTAAGTTAAGTGAGCACTTACTTCTATACTTATATTCTACGTATAGCTCTTAGAATCCCTACATTCGTAGCAACTAGTACGTATAGTCCAATCGCCGACCGAATGTAATTTAAGTTAAGAGAGCACTGTTACTTCTATACTCGTGTTCTAAGACATAAATGTGCAGTAGTGATGCAACAGGCCTATAGTATGATAATAGTCACAGAACCTTATGTTTTGAAAGACCAATGGATAGGTGAGTGTGAAAAGATGAACAATTTCAATTTAACTGTGAAAGAGACAACTAATTTAGACAGACATACCGGGTAAAAGAATGATTCAATATACATATATTGTACACGCATAAACGCACAGTGATGGCTTCGACAGTAGTGGAAAAAGATTGTGATGTTGACTGGCGTGGACGTTGTGCATGAGTCTTCTCCTGAAAGATACTGGCGTGGACCATGTGTATCTCCGGAATAGATACTGGCGACGAGTCGATGCTCTGTGGCCCTTATATAATGTGATTTTGGTTGATCCCTTCTTCTTGTGCATCGATTAAAGTATTGATATATTTTTATTATTTCGTGTGGTGTGACAACGGTACAGCTGGTAATTTATAGTTTTGTTTTGACCGAACGTCTTGATTGGAGAATTATCGAATTGGACTTGAAGTATATAATATATTATATATATGTGTACGTACACGTGTGATGTACGTATATGTATATGAAAGAATGCTTTCATGATTTTATAATATACGGTGTTTACTGGCGCCGTTGATATTTGATTGTGTTGCAGGTGCTGCGTGTATGTAAAAGAAGTGCGTATATTGTAGGTATATATGTACCTAATGCGTACGTATATATGCATATCGGACCACCCACACCCCATAATATGGTCTGTCTTCATTATTTGTCTCGTGTTTTATTCTAAGTCTAAATATTATATTTTACAAAACCATCATTATTTTTATTACATGAAAAATATCAATATACAACTTACTAGGGGACGGCCAATCCACCTAATTTAAACAACTTACCAATAAAAACAATATAAATATTTTAAAATTATTATGGAATTGCTCATTACAATTACATGACTAAAATAGGGAAATGTGGAGCTGCTGATGACGAAGATGAATCTAGATAATTTTGAGGTGTCGAGCCGACGGGTTGGTTTTGACCGAACTGGCAGGTGTGGATGAACTGGCCACGTGTATCTTGCAGAAAGAATGGATACAGCACTTTATAACAAAGCTGTATGCTGTATCAGTACCGAGCTGGCTAAGATGTGAACTTTTGTCAACTAGAGGTTTATTTACTTAATTGACAGCAATAACTTTTCATAATATCAACTTAGGTTATTACGGAGAAAAACCATATGTATTGTATAGGCATTAGCCACCAAAAAAACAACTAACAACAAACGGTACTAAGTCGAACCAAGTGAACAGACTAGACACCGACGTCGAAGCGAGACGGCAGTGAATGTCGAAAGGCGTCCATACTCAGTGTCGCCAACACTGGCAAAAGAACGTTAGCCAGTGGCACCTAGGTCGGGGCGCGAACAATACTCGTATGTCGTTTTTAAATTATTTAAAATTATTTTTCATAGATAAACTATATATATTTTTATAAAAAATGGTAATTACCAGATTCGATTGTGTGGGTCGCTGTTGAACAAACGGACGAATAAAACTGTTCATCTGATCAAACCAAAATACTTTTGGCTTGTGTATGTCATCTGTACCTTTTCCAGACCTTGCACTGTCTGATATTTTTTTAACTCCTGACAGAAAGAGCTTCCTAAATTTTTGAAATTTGATACAACTTCTTTTGGTCCAAATCCAGGGATATTTAATTCATGACTTATTCTCTTAGCTGTGGCGGCACGTAAATCTCTATCACGGTATTCATCCAAACTTGGATCATATTACACCTTTTCCATCGAATATAACTCCAAAAAACGCGTAGTTTCACTGTCGTTAAACTTAATAATTCCTCGTTGCTGTGACGACATCTTGGCTTCACGAACGGTACCTATATCACGACTGAAAATTAAACACGTTTGATCTATAGACGCTTGAGTCGTGGGCCGTTCCTCACGAAAGCAAGTTTAACGACTATGCGTTCACACAGAAGTGTATTTCACGAAAGTGTGGTTGACTGTCGTGATTAACGCCTCGTGGGAACGTCCCATAACGCGCTACACGTTTCCCCCTGCCCGCTCGCTCAACGTACTCCCACCGCCGAAAATCGTTCCCGCTCGAGCTCTGCCAACACGGTCACCACGACCAATGGCCACGAGACATCGAGCAACACCGTTTTTCGACCGCGACATTATTTAATTACAATAAAAACTTCATCTAAATCAATCGCTGTTATTATTTATCATTTTGTTTACGACGTTGGCCGCGACGATATCAAAAGTTTCGCCGCGTGCCACAATATCATTAACTGTGGGTATAGCAGATTAGTTAAAAATCAACCAAGGAAATATTTTGAGTTGTTTGACCGAATACCGTACAAATACTGGTTTTTTTAGTTTGATTAATAATGTTAACTTGAACTGTCCTCCAGCAATATGGTGACAAGGGATTGCGTCGCATGAATCCCTATGTCCAATTGCTTCAAGCTTACTGAGTGTACCTTGTTCATCAGCTGCTTGTGAGCAAAATTGGTCCAGTTTTGGTTTGATTCACACCAAGTTAAGAAATAAACTTCTACATAATAGGGTAGAAAAATAAGTTGCCATAAGATCAAACTTGAGTATAAGCCAAGCTAAGAAAAACAGCACTCAAAATTAACAACAATTGTTGAGGAAGAGAATTTAGATGGTTCAAGTGATTGTTCAATAGAATCAACAGATTCTATTGATGAACTATATGTCTAGCTCTATCAAATAGGAACTGAAAGCGTTACAATTTAAAAGTTTGTTTTATTAATAAATACATTTTTATGATGTAAAAAAATACAAAATAAATGAAAGTATCAATTTGAGTATCAAGTATTCATAGTTTATACTTTATTTAACATTTTTATGTTAACATAAAGTTCTCTTAATATATTTATCTACTATTGTGTTTAATATTTTTACTAAGTATAAATACTAAATAGTAAATAGCAACAATGTATCACATCAATTTATTGGTAAATATGAATAATTTGGAAAGGCTACATATTTAAAAATTGTATACTGTCTTATTGTATATTCATATTTGTAATTAGTAATTACTAATAAATAATAATAGTAACTGGCTGATAGGTTTATAAATTATATTACAGTGACTGGTGAGTGGTGAGTGATGACTATTGACTAGTAACTATTTGATAGATTTTATATTTTTAAACTTAGTGAGTTTCTAAAAATTAAATAATATTAATAACTAATAAGAAATAACTACATAGTAAATACTTAATAGTTAGTAGGTACTTTAGTAATTAATAATTAATATTAAAAATTATAATTATTTATAAATCAAGTATAGAATCCTCTAGATGTATCCTCTACCGAATTTAAGTTAGGTATGGTATATGTGTTTTTCAAGAAAATGGGTCCGGAAAAAAATTTGCACAGAGAGAAGTTTTAGCCGTCTAAAACTTCTCAAAACATACCTTCGCTCAACTATGGTCTATGACTGAATAATGGCTATCAAATTTGGCCATATTGAGCATAGAAAGCAAAATAGCTCGACCATTGATTTTGATAACGTAATAAGTAAATTTGAACTAATGAAAAAGCGCAGAAAATTATTGTAATGTTCTAGTTCTTTACTATTATTTTTATCTATAATACAATTTTAAGAATGTATTATTTTTGACTTTTGTATCGGATTAGAATTTAGAACCACCTTCTATATCTCTTGTGAAAATGAAATCAGTCATTGAAAATTAAAATAAATAAAATATATTATAAATATACATATAAAAATAAAATAATAAATATGTACAATCCCTTCTTAAAATGATTTAAATATTTCTGGTAAATTTGTTAGTTGAATATACATTTTAAAGCAACAAATAAAAAAACTGATTAATTAATAATACCTAAAGCCTAAGGGCTTGTAGGTAAATTTTACATTTTACTTAAAAATTTGTTATGACTCCTGTAATATTGAGTTATATTGAATACTGGTATCAAAATGTGATGTAAATAACTAATTAGGTAAATCAAAAGCGTATTGGGCGACTTTATAATACCTAGTTGGTTGATGTTTCTACACAGTGGCCTCTCGTAAGTAAGGCAGACCCACAGTTTTAAAATCCTGGGTACGCCACTGACATGGTTCCACCAGTAACCGCTCTGTATATTATAACAACGTCGTTCGACAACGTATGACGGCGATCGACAAATACCGACGATAGGCAACATTGACAGGAATGTGGTTGGGATGTGTGAAAATGAACACGTTTTGGTCGCCTCGCAGTTGCACTCTGGAACTGAGTATAGTCTTAAAGAAACAACTAAATACACGATCACAGCGAATATCTCAACAGAAGACTGTATAGTCAATGGCTCTATTAGCGAGTTAGTGCAAATTAACATCGGAAAAACCGTAAATGGTGGAGAAATAGCCAAGAGAGTTTGGCTTAAATTCGATGGAAGTGACGTCAACGCTTTTACGAACCACAACCACGGGCTACGACTCTCCCGTCGCCCCACAAAGGCACAAGGTGAGGAAGATATGTCAAACTGAACGAGTACCGGGTAACTTAAACAAACGAGCGTGTGTGTGAAATACCATGCGTCACCTTCCACCATCTCATCACCGCGGTAAACGGACACTTTGTACTATCTATTGTTTGAGTTTCATACCCAGAAAATTTTGCACAGTGAAAATAAATTAATAAATATCGATCGCGGACACTTTGAACGAAATAAATAAACCAGGAAATATATTTTACAAGGCAAGATAAAATTTAATTGCTCAAAACTTTAGATCTCGAATAGTGATAGCAATCAGTAGAGGCATAAGTTTGGTAATACAGTACATTCCATACACAACCTGTTAAGGCATAAATGTAATTGATAGTTTTTTTTATTTATTTTAATAAAGCATTTTTTTGTTTTTAATCGGTTGGCGGCGTTTCGACGTGGTTACGAGTCTGTGTTTTGAGCAACTAACTGAAGGACCGGCGGCGATCGTAGCCTACCTTATACATAATAAAGATAAGCCGACCGGTCCCTATCGCGAACAATTATTGTATCTACTTTTTCCTATCTCACGACAATGAATCGTACCGAACACAGCCGCCCACCTTGAAACATTAATTTTCAACTTAAATTTATAAAATATTGTAACAAATAAATAATAATACAATAATTAACATAATTCATAATATGACCTACTTATAATGATCAATAGGTATCTTAACACTAATCATAAATATTATATAAACAACTCAAATTGACTATTAAACAAATAAACAAAATATATAAATAATAAATGTAAATAAACTCGTGTCTTAACCCGGGTGGCCTTTGCTAAATCGCATTCCCCTCAAATGGCAAAGGACAAAGTAAGCGCACCGCCCTTTTCCATACACCGCTACTGGTTTGAACCGATGCTGCACGGATCACACCGTCTGCACCAGGCTCGACCTTGACCACTCGTCCTAAGCGCCACTGCAAAGGAGGCAGGTTGGTGTCCCGAAGTATTACCACTGTCCCAATTCTTACTGACGGACCTTTCGCACCTGCCCATTTAACCCTTTCCTGGAGCTGATTCAGATACTCATTACTCCAGCGATTCCACAGTGTTTGAGAGTATTTTGCCACTCTTCGCCACCTGTCCAACCGGTTATCAGGTGTGGCCGTCTCATCACGCTCGGGCACCGCGGTTATAGCGTCTCCGATTAAAAAATGACCGGGCGTTAAAACGGTCAAATCGGTTGGATCGGAGGACATTGGAGTTATAGGACGGAAATTTAAGCAAGCCTCTACCCTAGTTAGTACCGTACTCATTTCCTCATATGTAAGTCTCGCCTCGCCTAACACTTTGTATAATAAACTCTTCATAGACTTTACCGCCGCCTCCCACAACCCGCCAAAATGCGGCGAGCGGGGCGGTATGCACTTCCATTCGACGCCTTTATCCGCGAGAGCTGTTACAATTTCGTTTTGGTGATCCGAGGACTGAAAAAATTGAAATATTTCTTTGAGTTGCCTTTGTGCTCCAATAAAGTTTGTAGCGTTGTCTGAATATATGACTGAACTTCGGCCTCGACGGTCAAAAAATCGGTTTAAAGCTTGTAAAAATGTTTTCGTCGTTAAATCACTAATCAATTCAATGTGGACCGCCTTCGTTGCAAAGCAAACAAATATTCCGATGTACCCCTTTGAACATGCCGCCTTTCTTCGTAAACTAGTTTTTATCATTATCGGACCAGCAAAGTCGATACCACAACGCGAGAACGGCCGACTCTGTGTTACTCTATCACGCGGTAGGTCACCCATAATCGGCTGCACGATAACTGGTTTTAATCAGGGCTTAAAACCGTTTACCGGTTTTTCACAAAAACCGTTAAAAACCGTAAATTTTGAGAACCCTAAACCGATTATCTAATTTATCTGTAGTTTGGAAAGCGGATACCGGTAACCGATTAACAAAAGTTTATAAAGTCATATCCCAAAAACCAATTATCGACATTTCTGAAAACCGTTATTTTAGCGATACCTGGTAACCAGTACAATGAGGAAAAAAAAATTTGTTCCAATTACCAATTATTTATTTTTATTTCAGTTTATAGTTTTTATACTTTATTTAGTAGAAAAATATTCTCTTTATCAGTAATATTGAAGTAATGAATTTATATTAATTAATTTTTTTTGTACAGAAAATAGTAAATACGTACATGTCATACGGGTAATGCCGTAATGGTATACCGTTTATGCGTATAATAAAATAATAATATATAGGTATATTATATTTTATATTTTAAATAAAAATTATATACTTATATCTGTATTCTGTAATTCTGTATTCTGTACTGATTATTTAATATTACCGGAATTCCCTAAGGCCGTTTCCCGTAATGCAGCCTACATAGTACATGGACACATGGATTTATAATTTATGACAAGATGACAACATGATGGAACCGCTGTTTGGTTCGCTAGGTTGTGATGAATTAAAAAACGCTATCTATCACAAGCGGCGTAGTTTTGCGCTAAATTAAAAAATGACAATTTAAAGTTGCTGACCAAGCGTTACAGCAGCGCTGAATTATCGAAAGCACGGTACTCATATAACGACTTAATGAAAAGTGTAAACACATCATAATAAATAATTCATAGTTGATAACAAAAATGAAAAAATGTGATGTGAAAAGCGGTATTTAAACCGCTTAAAATTGGTAAGCGGTTATTTAAATATTTTGGAAACCGTTAAAAATCGGTAACTGGTAATCACTTTTTTATTGTGGTGTAAGGTAACCGGTAACCGGTAAACGGCACTTCTCAGAACAAGATAACTGGTAACCGGTTCTTAAAAAAATTTCGGCTCCTAACGGAGCCGATTACCTATCATTTTGGAAACGGTTTTAAGCCCTGGTTTTAATCTAAAACATGTTACGCATTTATGCACAGTATCACGCGCAATATTACGCGCCTTCAACGGCCAATATCGCTGCCGAATCGAAGCTATGAGTGCTTGTGGACCGCTATGCAATAGTTGTACGTGTTCACGGCGAAATAATAGTCGTGTGTACGGACTATCACTGGGTAGGACTATCGGGTTTCGCTGATGCATGTCCAGGTTTATTGCATTTTTTAATCGACCGCCGACGCGTAGAAGTTTTTCTTTATCGTAATATGGTCGTAATCTAAATAGTTTGCTTGTTGTGGCTACTTGTGTACTTCCGCTTAAAGCTTTTATTTCCTTGCCGAAGTGTTCTAGCTGCACCATTCTTATCAATGCGAGGTTTGCGTATTCTAATTCGAATGCTTGCAATGGGCCGACAATCAATTTTTTCTTTCGCCAGCGTAAACAATACGCCGTTATACGTATGATTTTACTTAACGAAGACCGTTCGGATAAAAGTGGATAATTACATTTCGCTGTACAAGTTAAACTGCACGTTTCTGCCGTCGTGGTGTTATCTTTCGCCTCGGGTATATTTGTGTCTGTCGCAGTATACGCTTTCGATTCGACAATTGGCCACGCTGTACTCTCCTCGCTGAGCCACTTGGGGCCATGCCACCAAATCGCATTTTCCTTTATACGTTTTGCCTCACAGCCACGTGATATAAGATCTGCCGGATTATCCAGCGTACTTACGTGTGCCCATTCACTAAATAACGTCAAATCTTGCACCTCCCCGACCCTATGGGCTACAAAGGTCTTCCATCGGGTTGATGGTGACGATATCCATGCGAGTGTTACCTTCGAGTCACTCCAGAATCGACGCTGGACTATAGGTAAATTTAATTTTGGGATTACTCGGCTTGCTAGCCGGGCTAATAGTAGTGCGGCACACAACTCCAAACGTGGTAGCGATATGACTTTCAATGGCGCCACCTTTGACTTTGCGCAAATTAAATTTACGACATTCTTTCCTACCAAATCAGTGCTACGCAGATATAGGCAGGCGCCATACGCCTTTAAGGACGCATCTGCAAAACCATGCACTTGAAATTCTATATTTATACCGTCGAATATTATTTTTCGTGGTATTGATATTTCGTTTAACTGTGACAGGCCGTCCCGACATTTAAGCCATTCGTTTTGAATGCTCTCCGGTAGTGGATCATCCCAACCAGCCTTTACCTGCCACAGGTTTTGCATTATTAACTTTGCATTTACTATTACTGGGCCGAGCAGTCCTAACGGGTCAAATATGGTCGCTATTTCGGATAATATTTTTCGTTTTGTTGTTATTAGTTTATCTTCTATTTGGCGCACGGTGTATAATAGCACATCGTTATCTGAATTCCAATTTAGTCCTAATATCTTTGTTGACTTAGTATCACCCACCGCCCGCACTCCGCCACTGGTACATTGAACGTCTGCGATTAGATCGCTATCATTAGACATCCATTTACGCAGTACCAAGCCCGCACCTTTCATAATTGCCGTAAGATTGTCTCGTAATTTTAATGCTTCCGATTTATTCATGGCACCCCCTAAGTAATCGTCCATATAAAAATTTCTTACGATTGACAAACACGCATCGGGATAATTTTCGTATTCAGCTTCTGCCAAATTTTCCAAACACGCCGTTGCCAAATATGACGCGGGGACTGTGCCGTACGTTAACGTATTAAGTTGATATTTCTGTATCGGTTGCGTTGAATCTGCTCGCCATAATACTCGTTGGTAACTTCGATGATTTTTCGTGACCAAAATCTGTCGATACATTTTTTCTATATCCGCCGATATAACGTAATTATACGTCCGGAAACGCGCTAATATATATAACAACTCGTCTTGAATCGCAGGCCCCTTCATTAAAATGTCATTAAGACTAATGCCTGTATCGGTTTTACACGATGCGTCAAACACTACGCGTAATTTTGTAGTAGTACTATTTTCATTACGGACTGCGTGATGCGGTATATAATATGACTCTCCGGCGCTGCAGTTATCATCTTCACCGATAATCTCCATATGCCCAAGTTCTTCATATTCAGACATAAAATTAGAATATTCTGTCTTTAATTTTGGATCCCTCTGAAAACGCCTTTCCAACGATAACAGCCGACGCTTCGCTATCTCGTACGAGTTTCCTAATTTAGGTTTATCTTTTTTGAATGGTAAGTGTACGACAAACCTGCCACTGCCGTTCCGTTTAACATTTTTTTCAAAATCATTTTTACACGCCTTTTCTTCCAAAGTGTATACTTTTTTTTCTCCATACTCCTCGAGCCTCCAGAATGTCGCAATTATCCTTTCCAAATCTGTCTCCGGGGTCTCACCCGTCAGTAAACATATCGCACTGGATGAGTGTTCATATTCGGATTTTTCCGGAAGTCCTAACGGACCCGAAACCACCCATCCCAAGCACGTCTCTTGGAACACCGGTCCCTCCGCTATTGGTTTAAGTCGTCCAGATTGCATTAAATCGAAAAAGTGATTGGCCTCAATTAATAAATCTATTTTCTGTGGTTTTAGAAATGATGGATCAGCCAACTGTACACCGTTAGGAATTACGTAATTTCCTTTAAACACTCTTGACGGTATGTTTGTCGTTATGCGTTTTACGACTAAATACGATGTAGATAATGTGAACTCGTTATAATTTGATATGATCGTTGTATTCACTGTCGACGACACTGTCTGCGCGCTATCTCCGATTCCCAATAAGCTATGATTAATACGTTTTTTCTTAAGTCCTAGCACTTGAACCATTTCTTCAGTAATTAAATTACTCTGTGACCCAGAGTCCAGTAATACCCGTCCGGGTACCAAATTACCTATCTCGTCACGCAATAATATTATCGCTGTCGCCAATAAAATACGATCGTCCAATATTACCGACGCGTGGGCACTTATGGACTTTGACTCTTCATCGCTCCTTCCTGCAATATTCAAGCCAGCTGTTGTCGACTGAACCTGTATTTGTTCGTTTGTCGTTGATTTATTTCCCACTCCAGACAAGTGCAAAAGCGTGTTGTGCGGCTTTGCACATTTGAAACAAAATCGCTCGTTACATTTTCGACCGTCGTGTTTACGTAAACAAACTTTACATAAATCAAGCTCCGTTGCGCGTTTTATTCTATCCGATATGTCTAAACCACAAAATGTAGGGCACTTATAAATCGTATGTTCTGATCCACACACATAACATTTTAATTTTGACGTAGACGTGAACGACTTCGACGCGCTTCCTTTTTCATAATATTTTTTCGCGCTGGTTTCTATAGGCCGCTGCGCTCGAACACTTATGTTTTTTGCGACCTCTATGGCTTCTAAAACCTTGAATTTCGATTCCAAGAATTGAATAATCTCCGACACCGTTGGCACCTTATCATGCGACGATTTTGATTCCCACTCTCTCAATGTGGTTTTATCAATTTTTGTTGCGATTAAATGTATTAATAGTGGTCCCCAATCCCCGGGTCGTTCGCCTAGCGCCTCTAAAGCCCGCATGTGTCCACTGAGCGTGTCCGTAAATTGTCTTAGCTTACTCGCCGATTCGCCACTCATTGCTTCAAGGTCGTATATGGACTTTACGTGTGCCTGTACTAACACTCGTTTGTTATTGTACCGCTGCACAAGAGATTTCCAAGCTATCGCATAATTATTCGCCGTCGTCTCCAAACATTGTATAGACGCTAGTGCTTCGCCGGACAGTGATGCTCGCAAATGGAAAATTTTTTCTATATCACTTATATCCGGATTTTTATCCACTAATACGGAAAATATATCATAATATGACGCCCATTCATGATAATTTCCGTTAAATGTAGGCACATTTAACGCTGCTAACTTAACTGCCGGGGTTGCTTTTTTTTCATAGAACGTTTCGCTTTTGCTTTTTTCGCGCTCCTCTGTGCCCTTCGTTTGTGTAATTATTTTCTCCGCCGCTGCCACACTTTTAAAGTATAGGTCCTCGAATATTTCCCTATACTCATTCTGTGTATTTATGTCGACCTCTTTCTGCGCCTCTATCACAGATTGAAGTTGCTCATACTCTATCCACACCTCTTCAATCTTTTCTCGTCGAGCTTTTATCTCGACTGGATCGACATTTGGAGATTGTAGGCTGTTCCAAAAGCGCGTTATCGACGCTTTTAACTGCCCCCTTCGTATATTCATATTCTCAACTCCATCCATTTCGGAGCTATGAGTTACTATTATACAAAATGCTTAAACTATCGAGGGTAAGCAGGTACTATTTTTTTACAATTCGGGTAGAAACTATAGGTATTTATTTTATTACTTTGGATAAAATGTATAACGCCCTTACCTTATATAGACTGTTATTCACTGGTATCCATAGTCCATACGCCACGGAACCAATCACTACACGTTTCGATTTATTTTGAGGTTAGACGCAACGATACCTCGTGTTACTTTTTTTTTTTTGCAACTATCAATTTTACCGCACCTTTACGTGATGAAAGACTATTCAGACGTTGATTCACAGATCACGGGCGAAGGACCAAATGTTAAGGCATAAATGTAATTGATAGTTTTTTTTATTTATTTTAATAAAGCATATTTTTGTTTTTAATCGGTTGGCGGCGTTTCGACGTGGTTACGAGTCTGTGTTTTGAGCAACTAACTGAAGGACCGGCGGCGATCGTAGCCTACCTTATACATAATAAAGATAAGCCGACCGGTCCCTATCGCGAACAATTATTGTATCTACTTTTTCCTATCTCACGACAATGAATCGTACCGAACACAACCCATACACTAAAATACAACCCAGACAGCAAAAAAACACTGCTGCAAGATTATATAGATGTTAATTATTCAACTATGACTTATGAGATTTTTGGAAAAATGTTCATTTAATATTGATTTTACAAGTTACATGCACATTTAATTACTAATATTAAATGTATCTTTAAAATCAACTTGAATAGATGTTGTACAATTCAATTTTAATAACCAAAAAATATGACCAACATTTTAATTTTTCAATATCTATTTAGTAATGCAAATCAAATATTATAATAATACTTTCAGGCATTATCTAACATCGGTTTAATGTCATTTTATTATTGAATTCATAACCATAAGGCGATATTGAAGATATCTAGTTGAATAATTAATATTGCTTATAGTTATATACTTATATATTAATTTGTTAAAAAAAAAAAACACTATAAAATGATTGTTCTTATGAACTCTGATGCACAGCCCACATCAGAGAATCTGTGGAGTCTATCAGTGTTTCTGGCCTAGACAAATAAGGTGAGATATTTTGTAAATTAAAATTATTCAAAAGGAAGGTGGAAAAGGGATGTTTGACAACTCTTTCATCAGTGATCTGCCTTTTATAAAAGTTTAAGAACGCTAATAAAACATCATTATATGTCATCAAATTTAATGTATTATAACATTTCAGTTGGGAATAAGAAATATTACTTCTCTTAAATGTTTCTTTAGTATTTCAATGTATTAATACAACATACATCCGATATAGCTGCAATTGAAATTAATAAGTACATCATACTAATGTTAAGAATCACCTCTATACTATTTGGCAGGAACCATGAGCAGTTTGTCGTAATACACCATCACATAATTAACATTAAAAATACTGTAGTCCTTTTACTGTTTAATGTATATTACATAAGAAGAAACTTTAAAAAAAATTAACATTTTAAATTGTACTAATAATTATTATTTCACTTGTTTTATTTTAGTTATATTTCTTTAATAACAAATATTAGACTATTTATATCATATAATATAATAATTAAAATATATATAAATGTATCTATAATCAAGTCGTAGCCATGTCTTCTGGTTGTTTTTTTGAAATTTGCTCATTTGTTTTGATTACAAATGGTCTTTGTGCCAAATACTTTTGAATCACCCCTTCTATTTCCCTATCTTGAACATGGCAAAACATTGGGCCTTTTCGTATTGCTTCTAAAACCAAATAAATAATACTACTAATGTAATAATAGGTAACGTAGGTATTCAATTTGTTTTACCAATTGTCAATATGACATATAATATTATATATGCATGCAATATATTTATATTATATATACTACAGTATTACTAAAATGAAATAGTGATCATTTAAAGATATATTATACTTGGTGGCCAGCACAAAGACAATATTTTACTAATGTGGCGTGCTTGCCTAACAATGAGATTAAACTTCACTGGTTTATAGTTTATTTAAAAACATTCATGCAGGTAATGCATTTATTATTAAATTATAATATATTAATACCAAAAATAATAAAAAAAAAAATAAATTAAAAAATTATCAATCTATATCTTACCAATAATTATTGAACATAATATATTCAAGGATGAAAATGATTTTTTTGTTCGAATACCATGATAATTTCACACACAGCAAGTTATCGTTGAATAATTTTTCAAAAATCCGTTTTATGGACCGTTTTGTGTTTATGCCTAACAGCCTTGTTAATTCTTGTATCTAAAAAAATAAATGATAGTATAAAATAGCTTATAAGAATATACATATTACATAATATTATATAGTTTTAATTTTATAAAACATTATTATTTGGCATTTTCTGCCAAACACTCATGTGTTCCTAATGCATACGAGACATATAAAAAAAAAAAAAAAATTTTATAAATTATAATTATTATATTTGTATAGAATACATTTATCCTTACAAAATTTAATATCAATCCACTATCATTCAATAATACGTGTCAGAGGGAATTAACCGATATTATATCAAATAAATATACCAATAATTTTGAGAACACACCTTTAAAAAGAGTGGGTCTTACTTTTTTTTTTTTAATTTGAAGCTATTGAATAACAAAAAATTAAACCAAAAATGTATAAACCATTTTTATAAAATAAAAAATTGTGAAAATTGTTTATTAGGTACCTATATTTTATTTTGATCATCATTATTTTATTTATTCATTTTTATTTAATAAATTAATTCGTGAATTTAAATTGTAAGTTATTCCATAGCAAGCACATTACAATAATTTAAATATGAAGGTGAGATTGTACCTATATGGTATTAATAAATAAATATTTTAATATTATTTATAGAATGCATACCATTTGGAAACGATATTTATGATTATCTATTAAATTCTTGTCAAATTCCAGAAGGTCTTCCTCCAATTCCATAGTTTTAAATATTGGTTGACTATTTAATTGGCTTTCAGAAGCTTGCAGTTGAATTTCTTCCATCCCATTTCCAACCAATTTATCCAAATTCTTTTCAATCCTCTCTAATGTTTCAAATAATGTGCGATTATCATACCTCAATCCTGCAATTTGCTTATCAATTGAATTTACTTTACTATCTAAAAAAATTTTTTAAAAAACCCATTTTTTACTATAACAATTAAAATATTATAAAGATTATTTGTTCAAATACTAAACAAATATAAACTTAATACTTCTTACAGTTCAAAATCAAATAATTTCCAAAATCTTACTATAAAATATGGTCTTTACTCTTTATGTTAAGTAACATGCAATTAAATAAATTATAAAATAATTTTTACCTAATTCACACGGTACCATTGTCGACTCCTTAACACTTATTGATTTCTTCTTTAAATCGTCATACAACTCCCAATTGTTTGTACACCGTCTGGAATAAGTGTTCTAATGACCAATTGAATTTTTTAAACTTAATTTGCCTTTATGGTAACATATAACACCACGTAGTTCATATGTAATTGAATTATGTATGATAACAGGGGGGGATATCACATAATTTAATTTTCAAAATTATACCAGCCTCACTGCTCTTTTGTTGATCATCACCTTTAAATTAAACAATATGATTATCCTAACTTAATATTATAATAGAAAATAATACTAAAATAATTTACCTTCCCAATATAAAATATCAATAAATAAATGTATTTTTGAAATATTAGTTGTTATTGTTTTAATTCCGCTGCAATTATCTTCACAATTTAGATATTCAGCGAGTGTTCTTGTATTAATATAAGACTGAAGTTCTGTTATATTATCATCATCGTTAACTTGAAATGTTATATACTTTTAAATACTCTCTACTTGAGATTGCATGCATCTATAGAACATTTTTTTTTTTTAGCTGTTGGGGCATCCATTAATGTATTTATTGCATGACCAATGGTTGAGTCACACATAGTGATGTGCCTTGGGAATATTCCCAAAAGAAAGAAATATATAATTGGGAATTTATCGTGAATATTTCCACAACATATATTTCTTCCCAAACTTGGGAATTTTTTTTTCCGTTTTATTAGTCCACACTGTTAGAGGTTCACTAGATAACATAATTCATAACAACGTTTTTTATAATGTTTAATATATTTTTCAGTTATTAAGTTTTTTGTTAAATATTATGGAGTACTTCATATTTATTTTATTTTGTATTATTATTATTAAATATAGCTACTAGTTAATAGTTATAGTTAATTTATAGGAAATTTGTTACTTTTTTAATGTTTTTCCTAAAAAATTAAACTAAATATCTTAACAGATATTTTCTTCAATACCTATCAACTTTTGTGTAGAAGATACTACAAAGGTAAAAGACATTATTTTTCAATTTTCATTGAGAAAAGTAGGTACTATTATAATATTATTCATAAAAATATAAGGACAATTATATTTTATTATTTATTTTTATTTTTAATTAAGTTAATGCTACAAAATCTGAGGTCATTAGCAAGCCACACCAGGCCACAATTTTGGATTGGGTATAATTTAATTTTGACTTGGCTACTAGAATTTTCAAATTTATAGTAAAAATTCCCATTTTTTTTTCAGTGATATTAATTGCTTTTGCATCTTTTTGAAAAGTGTAAAAGTTTGTCTGTTCTTTAATGTGTTGAAATAGATCTTCAGAAAAAAACTTATCAAAGTATTCAAATGGAGTTAAAACATGATCTTGTTAAGAAACATAGTCATTGTCAGGAATATCAACTTCAAAATCTACTTTATTTCCATTCACCCATTTAAACTTCATGTGTTCAACTTTAATTTTTTTTTTTCTGTACAGGAATAGTAAAACTGTCTCTAGCTCTCTCTGTTCTAGGTTCTAAAAACATATTTGGTAATGGTATTGTTGGAGTTTGTTTTGAACTTACCAAACGTTTAGATTTTCTTATTGGTGTTACATTTGAACCAGATGTACTAGGAGTACATAAATTAGATTCAGGGGTGAAGAGACACAAAGTTTTCTGGTATTTCTGTTGGTACTTCTAGTTGTTCAAAAACATTATTTTGTAACCCATCAACTGTATTGTCTATCTCTTCTAAAAACTATAAATATTAAAATAAATAAAAATATTAGGTATGTTATAATAAAATTCATTTTAATTTAAATATTAACCTCATGAAGTGGATATTGCTCCAATTCTTTTAGAAGTTCATCTAAATCTTCCTCGATAGCTTCTGAAGGTAGTGGTGATTCTTCTCTTTGAATAATATTTTCTTCATCGCAACTTTCACCGCTATCCTCTGGTGGGATCATAGCTAATATTTTAAGTGCCCTTTTTCGACGAAGCATTTTTATAAAAATGGATCTATAAAATAAATTCAGTTTTAGAAATTATATATATATAAAAGTATATTAATATATTGTAATATATTTTTATATTTTATTACAACCTAAATAAAATGTAATACCAAATATGTAAAAAAAAAAATAACTGAAACAGATACTCCTAGCAACGTATCTTTTTAGATACATGTAAAATATAAACAGAAATATAGAATTCTATTAATGTATCTTTTTGGATACATATTTTTTAAATACAAATAAAATAAACATTATTGCATATATCATCAAAAACTATAAGTACAAATGATAATTACACTTACCTTAAATTAAATAATGCAATTTTCAGTCTTATTATACATTAATACTCGATGTACTTGCAGTTGAAATTTATGTTTTTGAACCTTAATCAATAGCTTAAAATTGACAACAGATAAAAACGAATTTCCCTCCAAATAATCATATTAGCGCTATCATAGCTCAATTTCATGGTACATATGATATTATTCAGTGTGTATAAATAATAAAAATAAAAATATGTTACATTGGTTACCATACAAGTGTTCTCAAACATTGCGTATCCAAAAAGATACAACGCCAAGTTAAGGGTTAAACAGGTTACAGGGTTAAAAAAGCAATGTTTTACTTTGAAAATCACACGTAATCAGCCTAATTGACAAATTACGAATGATCATTCAATTAAGAACAAGTTCTGGATAATACAATATTTAAGGATACCTATCTAAATATAATTTTTCAAACAAAAAAACTGTTACTATATTTAGTATAGAATCGAAACAGTGTCCCAGCCATCAACATAATCGAAATATCGAATAGCCTATTAATAGTATATACAAATCCAAAATATTATTTTAAGCAGTGGTTCAACTGTCGGATTATGCATATTATATCAGCCATATAATATTATATATATTGTAAAGTCATTTATAAATTACGATATTTGAAATGGAAATAATATAATATCTATATTCTAATTGTATATACACATGTTCTGAATCGTTTACCTGCACGACTCGGCAGAGCAAGTGACTTGCAAGCGGGTCCCGCGTGCGGAAATTTGTACCCTACCGTTTTTCGCCACTGCCAGTTATGGCATGACCACTATAGATTTGATTATAATTATAAACATAACTATAAATAATAATATGCTACAACTATGGTACAATAAAATTACAAATATCTTGAGTACATAAGTAAATTAGTAAAAATCTTTGATATTATTTAAAATCAGCGCTAGGATTTATATGCAACAGCATGTTTTTTTTGCGACTTCTGATTATTGATTTTGTCAATAATGTCCACGAATCACCTCATGATGAAATAAATGGTGGTATTTTTATTTTGCATGTTTTTGCATATTTTGGATGAAATGCATATTATCGCATGTATTGAATACAATTAATTATTTTGCATATTTTGATTATAAGAATGCGGAAAATGAATGTTTTATAGTATATTTCATAAAAATTTTATAAATACAATTCTATGGCACAATAGGTATTCAATAAAATATTGAATAGTTTGACATTCATTTTCAAAAATGTAAAACATATGTGGACGTAACTCATAGCATGTAGCACACGTAATGAATGTGAATGTGAATTATAAATTATATTTTTTTTTTCTCAATTATATTAGATATATTAAGACAAATAGCCAATCACTGATGTATTTCAACAAATAACTATTTTTCTTATAACTATAATTTTGTGTTTATCTTATAAAAATTTAAATGCAATATATTTTATATTAATTTTTGCATATTTTTGGTATATAAAATGCATATCTTACCATTCTTTATTGTATACAATTTATAGCCCTGATAATTAAGAATATATTATATATATATATAGATTTGACATTTATTGATTTTCTATATCTTTAATTAACTATACTGTTTATACTGAACTCATATAATTAACCCCCCCCCCACAATCATTAAGATTATGGGGGAGTTACCTGATTGTATTTATTTGTTATTTCTTTTGTATTTTTTGTTTACAAGAAATAAATTATTATTTTTATTCTTAGGTTTTATTATTATTATTAATACTATTGTTAAAAATGCCATTTATGTTTTTAGTACATCTGATTACAGATAATCTGAATAATTAAAAAAAGATGATGAGTATTTAAATTATAACTTACCTTGGTTTTCAATAGCTCCCACAGAACACTCTGTGCTTGGTGTCCTATAATGTACTGTATCTATTTTTCTCCGGCCTCTTAAAGATCCTCTTCCAATCGACTTATATGGTGTATCTCCTCCTAGTGTGAAGACTTAATATATAAAAAAAAAATTAAATATTTAAAAAAATATTATAACAAGAGCCACTTAGATAAATAGTGTTAAGCAGTCCATCTAATTTAACATGAACTTGAATTTATTTGACATTATTAAGACAAGATAAGTTGGTATTATAATTAAGAATAGATTATTATGCCAAATATAGATTTGACATTTATTGATTTTCTATATCTTTAATTAACTATACTGTTTATACTGAACTCATATAATTAACCCCCACCACAATCATTAAGATTATGGGGGAGTTACCTGATTGTATTTATTTGTTATTTCTTTTGTATTTTTTGTTTACAAGAAATAAATTATTATTTTTATTCTTAGGTTTTATTATTATTATTAATACTATTGTTAAAAATGCCATTTATGTTTTTAGTACATCTGATTACAGATAATATGAATAATTAAAAAAAGATGATGAGTATTTAAATTATAACTTACCTTGGTTTTCAATAGCTCCCACAGAACACTCTGTGCTTGGTGTCCTATAATGTACTGTATCTATTTTTCTCCGGCCTCTTAAAGATCCTCTTCCAATCGACTTATATGGTGTATCTCTTCCTAGTGTGAAGTCTTAATATATAAAAAAAAAAATTAAATATTTAAAAAAATATTATAACAAGAGCCACTTAGATAAATAGTGTTAAGCAGTCCATCTAATTTAACATGAACTTGAATTTATTTGACATTATTAAGACAAGATAAGTTGGTATTATAATTAAGAATAGATTATTATGCCAAATATAGATTTGACATTTATTGATTTTCTATATCTTTAATTAACTATACTGTTTATACTGAACTCATATAATTAACTACCACCACAACCATTAAGCTTATGGGGGAGTTACCTAATTGTATTTATTTGTTATTTCTTTGTATTTTGTTGTTTACAAGAAATAAATTATTATTTTTATTCTTAGGTTTTATTATTATTATTAATACTATTGTTAAAAATGCCATTTATGTTTTTAGTACATCTGATTACAGATAATCTGAATAATTAAAAAAAGATGATGAGTATTTAAATTATAACTTACCTTGGTTTTCAATAGCTCCCACAGAACACTCTGTGCTTGGTGTCCTATAATGTACTGTATCTATTTTTCTCCGGCCTCTTAAAGATCCTCTTCCAATCGACTTATATGGTGTATCTCCTCCTAGTGTGAAGTCTTAATATATAAAAAAAAAATTAAATATTTAAAAAAATATTATAACAAGAGCCACTTAGATAAATAGTGTTAAGCAGTCCATCTAATTTAAGATGAACTTGAATTTATTTGACATTATTAAGACAAGATAAGTTGGTATTATAATTAAGAATAGATTATTATGCCAAATATAGATTTGACATTTATTGATTTTCTATATCTTTAATTAACTATACTGTTTATACTGAACTCATATAATTAACTACCACCACAACCATTAAGCTTATGGGGGAGTTACCTAATTGTATTTATTTGTTATTTCTTTGTATTTTGTTGTTTACAAGAAATAAATTATTATTTTTATTCTTAGGTTTTATTATTATTATTAATACTATTGTTAAAAATGCCATTTATGTTTTTAGTACATCTGATTACAGATAATCTGAATAATTAAAAAAAGATGATGAGTATTTAAATTATAACTTAAATTGGTTTTCAATAGCTCCCACAGAACACTCTGTGCTTGGTGTCCTATAATGTACTGTATCTATTTTTCTCCGGCCTCTTAAAGATCCTCTTCCAATCGACTTATATGGTGTATCTCCTCCTAGTGTGAAGTCTTAATATATAAAAAAAAAATTAAATATTTAAAAAAATATTATAACAAGAGCCACTTAGATAAATAGTGTTAAGCAGTCCATCTAATTTAACATGAACTTGAATTTATTTGACATTATTAAGACAAGATAAGTTGGTATTATAATTAAGAATAGATTATTATGCCAAATATAGATTTGACATTTATTGATTTTCTATATCTTTAATTAACTATACTGTTTATACTGAACTCATATAATTAACCCCCACCACAATCATTAAGATTATGGGGGAGTTACCTGATTGTATTTATTTGTTATTTCTTTTGTATTTTTTGTTTACAAGAAATAAATTATTATTTTTATTCTTAGGTTTTATTATTATTATTAATACTATTGTTAAAAATGCCATTTATGTTTTTAGTACATCTGATTACAGATAATCTGAATAATTAAAAAAAGATGATGAGTATTTAAATTATAACTTACCTTGGTTTTCAATAGCTCCCATAGAACACTCTGTGCTTGGTGTCCTATAATGTACTGTATCTATTTTTCTCCGGCCTCTTAAAGATCCTCTTCCAATCGACTTATATGGTGTATCTCCTCCTAGTGTGAAGTCTTAATATATAAAAAAAAATTAAATATTTAAAAAAATATTATAACAAGAGCCACTTAGATAAATCGTGTTAAGCAGTCCATCTAATTTAAGATGAACTTGAATTTATTTGACATTATTAAGACAAGATAAGTTGGTATTATAATTAAGAATAGATTATTATGCCAAATATAGATTTGACATTTATTGATTTTCTATATCTTTAATTAACTATACTGTTTATACTGAACTCATATAATTAACTACCACCACAATCATTAAGATTATGGGGGAGTTACCTGATTGTATTTATTTGTTATTTCTTTTGTATTTTTTGT